TGGCGGCGGGAGGGGTGGCGGGGATGGCGGAGGTAGCGCGGGTGGTGGAGGGGACGGTGGTGCAGACGAGGGGACCAGGGCTGGTGCCCCAGCGCAGCAGCAGGAGCAGAAACAACAACCCTAGCAGCAGCATCAGCAGCAACCGTGGTGACCCCCACCGCCGTGGTGGCCTGGAGGCTCTGTTGGTGGTGGGCCGCGTAGCTCGGTGTCAGGTGGTGGCTCCAATGTGGTCACCTGCCAGTACTAGCTTCCGTGTGGCCCCCGCCGCGGCACCGTCTGTGACCGTCCTGGTCACACCGTCGCTCGCTGCTACCACCGCCTCGACGACCTCTTCCGTCTCCGGTTCGGCCCTGCGTTGGACCCCCCCGACTGGCACAGCCAGGTACGACGCCGTGTGCCGGTCTTTGAGATGGATATGGATCAGTTTTGCTCTACTATGTATGTCATGTATGCTGATGACTCTACTGTGACTGGACCTTACTACCCTCAGTAGCCTACTCTAGGTGTGCTCCCTGTGTATAGTCTAGGCTCCCCTGCTGTGTCTGGCATAGGACCTCCATATTTGTTTAGCCTAGGCTCTACGCTAGCCTCTCCGCCGGCGCTTTGTTTCATGCTAGACTCTGGCGCGTCCGCCTGCTTTTTTCGTGACCACACTGCGCTCACGCCGCTTGCCGCCCCTGCAGCTGTCGCGCTTGCTAACCCCTTCTCAGGTCTGGTAGTTGCCCGTAGCTCCACCACCCTTCCCTGTCCGGCGGTTCCCTCGGGCTCTCTTATAGGCCTGCACATCCCCTCGTTCTCTAGGAACCTAGTTGGTGTCGGCTGTCTTCAGGACCTCGGCGTCACCACCACGTTCCTCGGACACGAGCGGTATTCGGTCTGCACCGAGGCCATCACTGTGCCCCTCTCGCCGTGACTCGGTGTGTGACCTATTTACGCTTGACATTGCGTACCCCCCGGTGGGGGCGTCTCCCCAGGTGGCCGCACCCTCCCAGGTCGCTACGGCTTGCTCGTGTCGGTCGCTCACTCACCCGTCGCTTCTTATCCACCACTGCCTAGGTCATCCCGCACTCCCATGTCTGGGTCAAATGTCCCAGCACTATCTTGTCTTAGGTCTCCCTGCGTCGCTCCCTACTCTCCCTCCCTCACCTGCGCTGCCGTGCACGCCCTGCGTCGAGGGCCGGATGCGCTGTGCTCCTCACTCCTCCTCGCTTCCCCCTACCACCGCGCCACTCTTGACCCTGCACCTGGACGTCTGGGGCCCAGCCCCCGTCCCTTGGCCGCTTCGAGAGCGCTACTTTCTAGTGCTTGTCGACGACTACACGCGCTACACCACGGTGTTTCCCTTGGAGCGGAAGGCCGACGTACCAGACATTCTTATCTCGTCGGTTGTATCTGCGTGATTCCAGCACGGCCTCCCTATGTTGCGTCTTCACTCTGATCGTGGCAACGAGTTCGCCTCCGGTCGGCTTGGCCAATTATGTCGTGCGGAGGTCATCACCCAGTCGTACACACTGCCGGACTCCCCGCAGTAGAATGGGGTAGATGAGCGATGCATCGGCTTCGTCATGGAGGTGGCTTGTACCTCCACAATCCGTGCCAGTGCACCCCATTTTTTGTGGCCGTTCGCTATTCGCTACGCCGCTCACCAGCTTGACCTGTGGCCACACTCCCAGCGGCCGCAAGTTTTGCCGACCCTCCTGTGGATCAGGTCCCCTGGTGACACCTCTGGCACGAACAAGCTCACTACCCGCACTGTCCGTTATGTCTTCATTGGCTTCCCCCTAGACAGATCTGACTGGCACTTTTACTACCCGCAGTCTCACCGTTTCTTTCACTCTCGTGACATCACTTTTGACGAGTTTGTCTCCTTCTACACCCGCTTTCCCCACCGAGGTCTCCTGGTTACCCCGGCCTTGTTTCTGGTTCCCACTCCCTGGTAGCCTCTGCTCCTCTCCCTCCCTGTCCTGCCCCGTGTGGTGTCTCTCACATCACTCCCCTCCCGTCGGTTGTCTCGGTTGAAGAGTTGGCTGACTCTGGGGGCCCTGCGGCTCCGATTTTGCTGCCTGTCTCTGCCCTGGTGTCGCCTCCTCTGCCGTTGCGGCAGCCGTCGCCGTCTCCGTCGCAGCCACAGTTGCCGCCGCCACAGTCGCAGCCGCCGCAGGGGTCCACGAGGTCTAGAGGTGTGGGCGTTGATGTGGGTGCTAGTCCTAGGGGTACTGTCGTGGCTTGTCTCGGCGGTCCTGGGGGTGGCACCAGTGCTGGAGAGGGTTCTCGTTCTGGGGGTGCTGGTTCTGGGGGTGCTAGTCCCGGCGGTATTGTCGTGGCTTGTCCCGGCGGTCCTGGGGGTGGCACCAGTGCTAGAGAGGGTTCTTGTTCTGGGGGTGCTGTCATGGAGCATCCCAGAGGTAGCCATGGTGCGGTTGGAGGTTTTGGCTTCAACGTGGAGCAACAGCAGCAGTCGCCGCCGGTGTCCGCCCTTCGCCTTCCTAGTCCTCCCTTCCCCGACCGCCCGCCTGCACCTCCCCTGCTGCCGCCTCCCCCGCCTGTCTATGGCACCGTGTTTCCTCTGTCGGACTCGTCCCCGGCTTGTTTCCCCCCACGTTCTCCTCCTGTGGCTCCTCCCTTGTCTCCTGACCCGACCCCCCCCTCCCGCTGGTGGTCTCACAGTGTCTCTCGTGCAGGTCCTGTTTCTCCTTTCCCGTGCTCTCACACTATGTTGCTCCGCTCTCACGCGTCTCGTGCTCCTCTTCTACCATCGCCTCCTCAGTCATCGCTTGTTGTCTCTCCGCCTCCTCTCTCTGACTTCCTCCGTGCCGCTAGTCCGCTAGTCCACTTGTTCCCGCCTCTCGCCTCTCTTGTTACCGACCCATCCGTTTCTGTCTCCAGTCTTGACGCTCTTGTCGCTGCCGTCGCTAACTTTGCCTCTACCCACCGCCTTGACTATGCCACAGCTCTTGTCTCTGACCCTGCCCGTCCTCCGTCCGTCAGGGGTGCACCTTCACTTGGCAGTGACGTTCCAGAGGATAGGCAGTACGAGCTAGCTTTCCTGTCCGAAGCCACTCCCCATCTCTGCTCCATGCTGTTAGTCCCAGAGGGTGACCCAGAAGACCTTGCACTTACGCTGAGGCAACCTCGGGACCCTAGGCCTCTCAGTAGATAGCTGCCATGGACACGGAGATGGCATCTTGGAGATCCACTGGCACATACGTCGACGTAATTGCCCCACCTGGGGTAAACGTAGTCGATGGTTGGTGGCTCTTCAACGTGAAGCGCTGCTCCCCTGGAGAGCCACCGGCGTTCAAGGCACGCTACGTTGCTAGAGGCTTCAGTCAGCGCGAGGGTGTTGACTTCTTTCAAACCTTCGCCCCGACCCCGAAGATGATCACTCTTCGGTCGCTGCTACATGTAACTGCACAGCGCGACTACGAGCTGCACTCCCTCGACTTCTCTACAGCGTTTCTCCAAGGGAGTCTGCACGAGCACGTCTACCTGCGCCGTCCGCCAGGCTTCACTGGGACCTTCACCTCTGGGACCGAGTGGCTTCTCAGGCGTCCAGTTTACGGCCTATGACAGGCGCCCCGTGAGTGGCACGAGATGCTTCGTGCTACGTTAACAGACCTGCAGTTCTTCCCGTCGTCTGCAGACCCTTCTCTCTTCGTTCATTCAGGCCAGACCCCGTTTTACATCCTTGTCTACGTGGACGACCTGGTCTTCGCTACTGCAGACAGAGACGCACTGGCCTTTGTGAAGGCTGAGCTGCGGAGGAGACACACCTGCACCAACCTAGGAGAGTTGCGCCGCTACCTTGGCCTGCAAATCTTCAGGTACAGAGCAGCGCGCACCTTCACTCTCACACAGTCACACTTGGTGCGCCAGGTCCTTCAGAGGTTCCGTCTTCAGTTCTCCTCCGCACAGCCCATACCTCAGCCAATAGATCACAGGCTCTCGGCTCCAATCCCTGAGGAGTCGGTAGAGCCTAGTGGTCCGTACGCAGAGCTGGTGGGTTGCCTGATGTACGTAATGACTTGCACTTGTCCAGATCTCGTATACCCTCTCAGCATCCTGGCTCGCTTTGTGGCCACAGACAAACGCTGACCACAGTACTGGTCGGCTGCTAAGAGGGTTTTTCATAGCAATTACATCGGGCATGGGGCTAGTGCTAGGAGGACGCAGGCTAGTGGTCCTTACAGGACACACATACGCTTCGTGGGCGGACGACGTTGAGACGCTCAGGTCCTCCCAGGGCAACTGCTTTAGCCTTGGTGCAGGCGCCATCTCGTGGAGGTCCACCCACTTGTCGTCTGTTGCACAGTCTAGTTGTGAGGTTGAGATCTACGCTGGTGCCATGGCGGCACCGGAGCTCTGCTGGCTGACTTTCTTGCTCACACACTTAGGTGAGCGGCCTAGCTCTGCCCCGGTCCTGTACGCTGACAACAGGGCCATGATCCTCCTGTGTCAAGAGCCTCAACTGGAGGGCAGAGCGAAGCACATCCAAGTGTGGTACTTCCTCCTGCGCGAGCTACGATAGCGATGCCAGGCCCGCGTAGTTCACTTGGCCTCCGGTGCCCAAGACAACTGATATCTTTACTAAGGCGCTTGCGCCTAAAGATCATCAGCGGCACTGTGTACAGCTTGGTCTAGTTCCAGAAGCTCCTCACTTGCTAGGACCCTGATTGTGTACTACTTATATATTCTACAAACTGGCCTTGTGGCTTCTGTTCCAGTGGCCGGACTAGTAGTGCCGCCCTGGTTTGCTCTTGTCTAGTTTGTGCTCTTCGGACCCTTGCCTCAGAGGTTGGACTAGGAGTGCCACCCTGAGCTGCATGTCTCTTGCCAGGCACTGCCCCTTGTCTAGCCTAGGGAGTGTGTCAACATGTTTATATATTGTTATAGGCTAGATAGGTGCATGCTTATAGAGAGTACAGCACCATAGCACAAAACCTGCCTGTATGCCTCATTCTAGTCATTGCGTTATTCTGAGAGCAATATGCAAATGGATTGAATGGCAACTTCACAACGAATTTCACTAGCAGCATGAATCATTCTCCGTGTCACAATGGTCTCTGCCATTCCCAACTCTGCCATTCTCCCCTCTACCATTCTCCTTCCCTCCATAGTCGTTCTTTTCCTCAACGTCCACTTCTATAAGCGCCCTTCTTGCCGTTTCTACAGGGAAGAAAGTGGTGGTGATTGCTGCTGTTAGCGGGACTGCTACAAAGAGGGACAGAGCTGCCGCCTGCTGACAGCCCTGTACCAGAGTGACTGCCACGTAAGGACAAACGATGCCACCCAGCCGGGAGAAGGAGCTGGCAAACCCCAGGCCAGAGGAACGGACGGACGTGGCATAGAGCTGGAGGGAGGGGGGGGGAAGGGGGGGGGGAGGGGACAGCTTTGGCACAACGCAAATTGCAAATCTCGAGAATCCCAATTCTGTCAGGCAACAAGCATCAGTTTTTATGCAGCTTGTACTGACAAGCCGAAATTGTTTTGTTACACGCAGCAGTTTTGACACAACACGTTCACGAAACCGTTGCGCTACATGCACCAGTTTTGACACAAAGCTCTCGCGAAACCATTGTGCCACGAGCAGCAGATTTGACACGAACATATTCGCAAAATAATTCACAGTTGCTCACCTCAGGTGCGAACATGAACAGTGTCTGGAACGACCCCATGATCGCCGCCCGGGCAACAAACAGCGCCGCCACAACAGCAGACGGCCGGGCGGCAAGCGCGAGAATCGAGAAATCCGGTAGGAGGGAGTGGAGGAGGAGGGGGAGGAGGGCAAGGCTGGCTACAGCGAGCATGGTGGCGATGGTGGTTCGTCTGCCCACGCGGTCCACTATGAGCGCGGAGAGCAGCAGCCCTGGCAGCTCGGCAGCGCTCGTTATAAGCACGCCTGCGAAGAAGGGCTCTCCTAGCCGCTCCACTGCGTCCCTGGCTGCTGCCTCTGCGCCGGCGGTGGCAGCAGTGGCAGCAGCGGCTATGCTATCACCAGCAGTAGCAGCAGAAGCACCAGCAGTAGCAGCAGCAGCAGCATCACTGGCAGCAGTTAAAGCAGCAGCAGCGGTGGCAGCAGCAGCAGGGGGGCAGGCGGGTGTGGCAGCGGTGAGCTGCGTGGTGAGCAGCACGAGGCCATAGTAGGTGAAGGCGTTGGCGAAGAACACCGCCCACAGCAGCACCGTGGAGGCGAGGAGTGGCGGGGAGAGCAGCTTTAGGAGGGCTGGCGGGGGGAAGGAGGGGAGGTGGGAGAGGAAGGAGGCGGAGTTGGAGGAGGAAGAAGAGGGGGGAGCGGAGCGAGGAGGGACGGTGGGTGTGCTAGGGTGGTGCTGATGTTGCAGCAGTGGCACCGATTCCCTTGACTCTCCTGCCTCTGTTGCTTTCTCCTGAAATTCACCCTGAGACCCTCCTCCCCCTGCCACCAGGCTGAGCCGTCCCTCTGGCAGCGCCCTCCCATTGAGCCGAGCCACGCGCTGCAGCACAGCCAGCGCCTCCCCTGGCCGCGCCTGCACCAGCAAATACCTGGGCGACTCCGGCACAAGCGGGAACAGCAGCAGCAGCAGGAGGAGAGGCAGCGAGGAGAGCAGTATCAGCCAGCGCCACCCGAGGGACGGGAGTACTGCCCAGGCCAGGGCTGCTTGGGCGACGGACCCGAGGGTCCAGAAGAGCGAGAGGGTGAGTGACCAGAAGCCGCGGGCGCGGGGCGGCGTGAGCTCTAGGAAGAGGGAGAAGACGACCGGCGCACCGCCCAGACCCACGCCGACGAGCGCGCGTGCGAGGAGGAGGAGCGGAAAGGAGGGCGCGAGGGCGGAGAGCAGCGCGGCTAGGAAGGTGAGGAGCGCCGTTGCTGTGAAGGCGAACCTGGGGTTGGGGGGGTGGGGGGGAGGGGAAGGGAAGGAGGGGGGAAGGGGGGGAGAGTGGAGAGGAATGTGAGTAGCGCTGCTGCTGTGAAAGCGAAGCTGGGGGGGGATAGGATGGTAAGGGTGCGGGGTTCGGAAAGATGAGGCGGTTAGAGGAAACCATAAGAGAACACACCGCCTTAGTCATCTGTATTGCTTGCATTCTCCCTCTCTGCTCCTGCCTACACTCTCACCTCCTCCCCTAGCTATCCTCTCACCTGCGCCCCTTGCTGTCCGCCAGCAGCCCCCACCCAAACGCCCCCACCAGCATGCCAGCAAACACTACGGACGACAGCGCCGCCTCACCATCGCCCCCCACGCCCCAGTGGGCGGCAGCGGGGGCGGCAATGAACGACAGCAGCAGCAGCTCCATGGCCTCCGCCGCCCACGCGAGGCCGGCGTACGCCAGCAGCAGGTAGTGGAAGCGCCCGAAGCCCAGCGCGGAGAGGGCATCATCGACCGTGTATTTCGGTTGCTGGGGGGGCGTCCAATGGTGGGAGGGCGTCGGATGGTGAGGGATTGCGAGGCTACGCCCAACGTCCACTGCAAATCTGCCATCCCGCATGTCGCTGCTGTCATCGTCGTTTCTGCGGTCTGTGAATCCGTCGCCGCTCGAACGCCGACTCGCTAGGGTGGCCCTGTCTCCGCCTAGCCTGCTGCTTCTTATCCGCGATTTAGCATCACTCATAATGAGAACGCCGCGTAGCCTCACAGATTCAAGCGCCTGCGATCCGTTCCCGCCGTTCCCGTCGCGCCCGTGAATTGCGGCGGAGCGGAGTGCGCATGCGCGCAGTCGCAAGGGGGCTGTGGATGCGACTACCAGAGGAGGCACTTTGCGCCCGAAGCTGCGGCGGAAGGGGGAATTACGAGAGGAGGAAACGCGGAAGGGGCGGCTATGCACGGAGGAAAAGCCGAGACGCGATAGAAGGAGTTCAAACGCGGCGGGGCGAGGGACGGTGTTTATAGTAGCTGATAGCGGAGCCATCTCAGGGGGGATAGTTGAGTGAAGCGGGGTGCTGAATTTGTCTAAGCGGAGATCCGATGTTGCGGATTGAAGTTCACTCGATACTACCTTTGTTCGAGATTCGACTGAATTTGGTTATGGTGTAAATATACAACTTGAGTAATGTTTTGGGTCCCTTTCGCCGAAGTTACAAACAGCGTTAGGGCGCTGCTGCCATCTTCGCAAACATCATTTGTGGCTGTTCGTTCGCCACGCGTTGACTCTCACTCACGAATGTCTTGCTACCACGTGGCACGCTCTTACGACTCCCCTTATTCCTGGAGATGGTTGACCTAGAGAGTGCCGCTGTCCATTTCCCGCCCTGCCAAACCCAAGAGCGGCTCTGGAAATAACTGGGCCATCTCTGCCTCAACAAGAGTGAACTGCTGCCTGAGGAGCATCACAGCAAGAGTTCACCCTTGTTGAGGCTCTCAAAGCAAAGCTCTCACCAAGCCTGCAGATTCGTACAGTTGTGTTCTCTCCCTTGCCTTGCTTGCTTTCCATTCCGCCTTGACTTGACCGTCTCAACTAAAGGTAACAAAGGCTTGACCTTTTTCGCCGTTCACTCCGCTCCTAGCATACACACAGCGTTCCGCCCGTCCTCTCGTCGCCGAGCAGTAATCCTCCGTGCGAAACGCAGTGGTAGAGTCCATCCGACGCTGTGCTCACGCTCAGTCGACTTCCTCGTCGCTCCATTCGCCACGGTAGCTTCTATCTCTCGGTCGCTTCTTCCGCAGACGCTTCTCTCGCTTGGCACTAGCCCCTACCAGTCCCCTCCGTAGTTCAGCGCCGATCCTTCGCCATGCTGTGCCATCGCCAGGCGGGCGCACTCTGCGCCAAGGACCTACAGATCCGCTCCGCTCCCGGCGGAGATGGTCTTGGTACCGGCGGAGATTCCCGCCGGCGCACTTCCGCCTTTCCCCGGCGCAATTCCGCGCGCACAGCTCTTCACAGCCTGCGAATCACCGCGACGGCGCAGATTCCCGCGTCTAGCAACCAGCGCGCTCTGGATAGCGATGCCGCCCCCGCCCCTCCCTCCCCCGCGCATAGTTCCAGCGGAAGCACCCCCCTTGAGAGCGCTTCCCCTGCTAGCGCTTCCGCCGATAGACTCCCGCCGAATGGTTCCGCCCGCACTCTGACAAACGGGTCCGCGTCCAACGGCCGCGCGGGAGGGACACGGGGGAGATACGCGGCGGGGAAAGCTGCGGGGGAAGCAGCGGAGGACGCGGAGGCGATGCGCGCAGCGATGCGGGAGCGGACGAGGGCGGTGCGCGCGAGGTACGCGCGCGTGGAGGACGTGCGGAAGGAGCACATCCCGCCCGACGTGTTCGACTACCTGCAGGCCGTGCGCGCTGTCATCCAGGGCGATCAGGGGGGCTCTCAGCCGCAGCAAAGCAGCGCTGCTGCTGCTGCGCCTTTCCCCCTGCCGTTCCCCCAGCTCCCCCTGCCACTGCTCCCCCTGCCCATCCCCCCGTTCCTGGAGCCGCTTTTTCCCGGATCAGCGGAGGCAGGCGCAGGCGACGGGAGCAGGAACAGGGCGGAAGGCGCGAAGAGCAGCGCGGAGAGCGGGCCGCCGCGGTTCCTGTGCCCAGTGGACGCCATCCCGCCCAGCGACGAGGGGCTGCTCCCGCGGCTGTTCTTCCTGCCAGGTGGGGGAGGGGGGGATGGGGGGAGTTGTGAGGGGAGCCTGAGGGTGTGAAGGAGGGTGGGAGATTCCGGGTGGATCAGGATTGAGAAGGGCGAGGGTTCGGAAAGGGAGGGGGGTGCGGGTACACAGGTCCAGAAGGCATCGTGAGGTCTTTTAGTGTGTGGGTGGCTGTGGAGGTGGGGGTGCCTTTGAGGCGACTCAAAAGCAGAAATGTCAGTGTGTGGGTGGGGTGGGGGTGGGGGTGCTGTCGTCATTCTGGGTGTTGCCGTGGGCTGGAATGGGTGGTGAATGCCATGCTGACGTAACGCTGATGTGGCGCTACTGCATGCGCTGTGGTTCATGTGTTGTGTTCCATGCAGGCATCGAGGGCACGGGGTTTGGTCTGCAGCTGCACCACAAGACGCTCTCCAGGTGCGACCTGCACGAGCGCGACTCATTGCCAGGGTAGATAAGGGAAGGGACTGGGAATTCGATCACGGTGCAAAACAGGCAGTACTCCTGACCCGACCCTTCCCCCTTGCCTTCGCCCCACCTGGACATTGAAGTTCACCTGTCTGCACGCGCCCCTCACAGAGAGCCCCTTCCCTTCCCCCCTTGCTCGGGCGTCTTCTCTCTCCCCCCCCCCCCTCTCGTTTCCGCCGGGCTATTCGAGGTCACCTGTGTGCACATGCCTCTCGCCGACCGCACGGATTTCAACGGGTTTGTTGCGCTGGTGGAGGCGGAGGTAATGCCTTTTGAGCATTCAGAAACATCTCCAGCATGCTGTGCACCCCGCCCTCCCTCCTGCCCTCCCTGCCACCCGCCCCTTCCCTGCACCCCACCAGGCTGTTCGAGGTCACATGTCTGCACGTGTCGCTAGCCGACCGCACGGACTTCAATGGGTTGGTGGATGTGGTGGAGGCAGAGGTGGCGAGGGAGCACATCCTCCCTCCCACCTGTCGCCTCCCTTCATTGCCTTCCGTTCCTTCCCTTCCCTCCCACCCGCCAGGCTGTTCGAGGTCACGTGTCTGCACGTGCCGCTAGCTGATCGCACGGATTTCAAAGGCCTGGTGGATGTGGTGGAGGCGGAGGTGGCGAGGGAGCACGCCCTCAACCCCTCGCGCGCTCTCTTCCTCGCCGGGGAGTCCTTCGGCGCGCTGCTGGCCCTTGCCGTGTCTGCTAGGAATCCCAAGCTGCCCATCATCCTCGTGCTCGTCAACCCCGGTAGGCACTTGTTCCCTCCTCACTTGCTCCCTCCTCACTTGCTCCCTCCTCACTTGCTCCCTCCTCACTTGCTCCCTCCTCACTTGTTCCCTCCTCACTTGTTCCCTCCTCACTTGTTCCCTCCCTCTCCCCTCCTCTGTCGATCCTCTGCAGGCTCTTACTGTGTGTCTGTGAGTGACACTAACCCTCACTTACCCATCACACTCGTGCTCGTCAACCTCCCCTCGCCGTCTTTCCACTTTTCTCCTCTACTCCTTGTTCCAATTGAACACCAAATAGGTGCCATTGTGTCAATACGTGGTAGCAACTTGTGTGATGACACATACGATTGCACCTTGTGTGATTTACACAGGTGTCATCACACAAGTTGCTGCCACGTATTGACACAATGGCACCTATTTGGTGTTCAATTGGACCTCCCCTCGCCGTCTTTCCACTTTTCTCCTCTACTCCTTGTTCCTCCCTTTCGTCCCTCACTGCTTCTTTTGACCATTGCCATCCCTTCCTTCCCCGCCCCCGCCCCCTCCCACCCCCTAGCCACCAGCGTCCCCCACTCGAGCCTGCAACCCCTCATGCCTGTGCTGAGTCGCTGTCCGGCTCTCCCGCCCCCCTTTTCCTGTTCCCCCTTTCCCCTCCCCCCCTTGCAGCCACGAGCTTCCCGCGCTCGCCCCTGCACCCGCTGATCCCCGTGCTGCGCTCCATCCCCCCGGATGTGTACCGCGTCTTCCCCTACCTGCTCAGCTTCACCATGGGTGCGTGCGGTTAAAATAGGAGGTAAATGGGTGGGTGCCTCGGCTGCACCATGGGTGGGTGCCTCGGCTGCACCATGGGGGGGTGCCTCGGCTGCACCATGGGTGGGTGCCTCGGCTGCACCATGGGTGGGTGCCTCGGCTGCACCATGGGGGGGTGCCTCGGCTGCACCATGGGTGGGTGCCTCGGCTGCACCATGGGTGGGTGCCATCAACTGGGCCGGGTCCGTTTCCTTGTGGATTCGTCATCATCTGCGCTCCACCCCCCTGGATGTGTACCGCATCTTCCCCTATCTGCTCAGCTGCACCATGGGGGACTGCATCCTAAGTGTCTGGTACGTTGTGATTAAGTGGTGAGTGGCGCGAGATCCAGTGGTCCGTGCGTCCCAAGCGCTAACACCGTGTTCCAACTGTGCAGCTGCTAACTTCCCACCCTCCTGTTCCGCATCTCCCCTCCAATCAGGCAACCCCATACGCGTGGCATCGGCCTGTGTGCCCAGGGACGCCTCGCCTCTCTTGTGCACTGCCAATGCACCTCTCTTTCAACTTCCCATCCTCTCCAACCCCCCTTCTCCTCCCTCACCCTCCCCAACCCCTCCCCTCTTCTCAGGCAACCCCATGCGCATGGCATCGGGCCGTGTGCCCATGGATGCCTCGCCTCTCGACCGACTCGTGCAGCTCAGGCAGAACCTGCTCGATCTGCTGCCCATCCTGCCCGTGAGAATCCATTGAACTTGGATGGTTGGACATGCTACCCAGTAAGGTTCTGCTGGCACGCCTCTCGTAGCCCATGCTGCCCATGCTGCCATGCTGCCCATGCTGCCATGCTGCCCGCGTTACCCGCGCTGCCCACGCTGCCACGCCTCGTCTATTGACCGCCTGCCGCAGCTTAGGCAGAACCTGCTGGACCTGCTGCACATGATTCTTGTGCCCGTTTATGTGCTGGGCATGAGTCTTGTGCCCGTTTATGTGCTGGGCATGAGTCTTGTGCCCGTTTATGTGCTGGGCAAACTGCCGGCCAGACCATGTTCTCCGTCATGTCATGCTGCTCGTACTGCTTTGAGGGCTAGAATACCATACGTGCCGTCCGCCATCCCGGTGAGACTCCTTTCTTTTCCAACACAGCACCTGAAAGCTGAGTCTCTCTGATACGCTGTGGGCACTGCTGGTGAGATTTCATCTAGCATGTTTTCTGAACCGCCTGTGAGGGGCAGTGCACGCATGCCACCTGCAGAGCTCCTCTCGCTCTCCTCCTCTCCCCTCCTCCTTGCAGCTGGTGGCGGCCATCCTTCCCCAGGCCACGCTTGATTGGAAGCAGGGGCTTCTGGGGGAGGGCAGTGCTGCTGTTGACTGACATGTGCCTCGAGGTCCCCCCTCATTCCCTCATTCCCTTACTCCCCCCGTTCCTCTTGACCCCACTGTGCCTCACACTACCCCCTCCATCCCTCACCCCCCCTATGCATTCAGCCGGTGGTGGGCATTCAGCTGCGGCCAGCGCTGCGCTGGAACTCTCTGTTTGCCGCACACCCACACTGCCGCTCACTGCACTGTTCCCTCTGCTCTACTCTCTCCCTCAACCCCCTCTTGTGCACGCAGCTGGTGGCGGACATTCTACCCCAAGCCACGCTGGAGTGGAAGCTGGAGCTCCTAGAGGAGGGCAGTAAAGCTGTGGAGCCGACGCTTAAAGGAATCAGGCACACCACGCTCATAGTCGCCGGGTGAGAGAGTGTAAGAAGGGTCGTGGTGCAAAGAGGTACAACGGGGTACAAAGAGGAGGGCAGCGCTGCTGTGGAACCAGTGCTCAAGGGGATCACGCACACCGCGCTCAAAGTCGCCGGGTGAGAAACAACGCATTCAGCACCGGCAACAACGCCTTCAGCACAGACAACCTTCCCATGCACCCCCCCCCATGCATCCCCCCCCATGCATCCCCCCCATGCATCCCCCCCGATGCATCCCCCCCCCTCATCCCCCCCTAGGATCCAACCCTATGCATCCCCCTCTATGCATCCCCCTCTATGCATCCCCCTGTATGCATCCCCCTCTATGCGTCCCCCCCTATGCATCCCCCCCGTCACCTCATATCCCCTTCACCTCATATCCCCCGTCACCTCATATCCCCTTCACCTCATATCCCCATCACCTCATATCCCCCTTCACTTCATATCCCCATCACCTCATATCCCCATCACCTCATATCCCCATCACCTCATATCCCCATCACCTCATATCTCCCGTCACCTCAGATCCCTCGTTTCTTGATATCTTGCCTCGCCCAGCACATCTTGCCGGCTGTCCGTGTTTGCTAGGCGTGCCACCCTCCCTCCCTCCAGAGTCTAGAGGCGAGGATCAGATGGTAGTGATACTGAGGGAAATGTGTTGCACCACTTCCTTAGCGCGTGGTACTCCGGGGTTCAAGCACGTTTCAATGTGGTTTGGTCAATTTGACTACGGCTCAGAGCGGTTGGCGCTTTAACTTTTGCATTTTCCGAGAAAAGTACCACTTTCTAAAGCTCTCCCTGTCTGTGTTCTCTCTGTCTCCCTCTCTGCAGAGGCGAGGATCAGATGCTGCCAAGTGAGGAGGAGGCGAAGAGGCTGCACAAGGAGATGGCTGCCTGCACCACCGTAGTCAAGCAATGCCCCAACTCCGGACACACGCTGCTGCTGGTGAGCGCACAGGTGCTGCTGGTGAGCGCACAGGTGCTGCTGGTGAGCGCACAGGTGCTGCTGTTGAACGCACAGGTGCTGCTGGCGAGCGCGATGCTTTGTGAAGGCATCACAAGGAGATGGCTGCATGCACCTGGGTGGTGAAGAATTGCTCCAACCCGGCCACACGCTGCTGCTGGTGAGCGCAATTCTTAAGACAAGTCCCATTGAGGGGATGGCACCTGAGGCTGCTCAAGGAGATGGCTGCATGCACCACTGTGGTAAAGAATTGCCCCAACTTCGGACATTCCCTGCTGCTGGTGAGCGCAGTAAAGGGAGCTGTGTGCAGGAGCATGAGCAGAAAGTGCGTTCGCTCCTGCCTCTCGAGAAGCTTAGGGTTTAGGGCCCAGGGGCATTACAGAACGAGTGGTGGCACACATGCATGTGCATGTGCATGTGCATGTGCATGCGCATGTACCAGCTGCGCCTCTTTCTCTTCCCCCCCCACCCCCCCACCCCCAAAGCTTAGTCCCTTCTCAGGAAGCTGACATTGACCTGGCCAGTGGCCGGTATAATCAAGGGCGCCGGTGTTTACAGGCGGACGAGCAGCAGGCGGGAGGAGCCCCAAGTGAGCGGCGTCGTGTTCCTTATACTCTCTCCACCCCCCCCCTCTCCCTCCCTCCCCCACAGGAGGCAGATATCGACCTGGCGAGCATCATCAAGGGCGCGGGCGTGTACAGGCGAACCAGCAGCAGGCGGGAGGACCCCCAAGTGGACGGCTTCGTGCTGCCCACTGTAGAGGAGTTTGCGCGCAGCAAGGGTGGCATGGACGGCACGATTCGTCTGCTGTGCTCGCCCGTGTTCCTGTCCACGGTGGTGGCTGACGAGCGCGACACCACACAGCTCAGCAGAGTGTTGGGTTCATCTTCCTCCTCGTCCTCCTCCTTCTCCTCCTCCTCCTCTACTTCCTCCTCCCGCATAGTTTTGGGTTTGGACGGTATTCCAACAGACGAGCGCCCTCTGCTGTTTGTGGGCAACCACCAGACGTATGCACCGGACCTCTCCCCCTTGATTGCTGAGCTGCTGGCTCACGGCGTGCCCCTCAGGGGGCTCACTCACCCCGTGGCTCTGGGCATGGTGAGTGGGTGGGCTAATGCTCTGGTTTTTGCCACTGCTGTAGCCTCTGCTCTAACAGCTACCCCCTCTTAAGCGTCCAACGCCCCCCTCTAACAGCACCTTAAACCCCCTCCCCACCCCCCCCTGCCCCCAAGTTCCCCTTGACCGTCGAGCACAACCCCATGGCTGAGGAGTTCCGCCTCTTTGGTGCCGTGCCACCGGCTCCTCCAAGCAACCACGTGCATCCACGCCCTTTCTCGTCCCGCTTCCCCACACTTCCCCCCCCCCCCACTTCTCCACACTTCCCCCCCCCGCTTCTCCACACTTCCCCCCCCCCCGCTTCTCCACAAATCCCCCCCCCCCGCTTCTCCACACTTCCCCCCCCCCCGATTCTCCACACTCCCCCCCTCCCCCTTCTCCACACTCCCCCCCCCCCCGCTTCTCCACACTTCCCCCCCCCCGCTTCTCCACAATTCCCCCCCCCCGCTTCTCCACACTCCCCCCCCCCCGCTTCTCCACACTCCCCCACCCCCGCTTCTCCACACTCCCCCCCCCCGCTTCTCCACACTCCCCCCCCCCGCTTCTCCACACTTCCCCCCCCCCAGTTGCCCCGCGTCCATCGCGCACAACCCCATGGCGGAAGAGTCTCGCCTCTTCGGCGCCGTGCCCGTGTCTGCCCCAACCTCCCAGACGCGCTTACATGCCCCTCGCTCCCTCCCCACCTCCCCTTCCCCCGTAATGTTCCCCCAGTTCCCCTCCTCTATAGAGCACAACCCCATGGCGGAGGAGTTCCGCCTCTTTGGCGCCGTGCCCGTGACCCCCAAGGTGCTGCACCGCCTGCTGGCGGCGGACCAGGCGGCACTGCTGTTCCCAGGGGGCATGAGAGAGGCGCTACGGAAGAGGGTGAGTGGGGAGCTGCTGCTGGGGAAAGTGAGGTGACTGCAAGTGCACCGCCTGCTGGAAACAGGCCTGCCTGGACTGCCGTTCCCAGGGGGCATGAGAGAGGCGCTACGGAAGAGGGTGAGTGGGGAGCTGCTGCTGGGGAAAGTGAGGTGACTGCAAGTGCACCGCCTGCTGGAAACAGGCCTGCCTGGACTGCCGTTCCCAGGGGGCATGAGAGAGGCGCTACGGAAGAGGGTGAGTGGGGAGCTGTTGCTGGGGAAAGTGAGGTGACTGCAAGTGCACCGCCTGCTGGAAACAGGCCTGCCTGGACTGCCGTTCCCAGGGGGCATGAGAGAGGCGCTACGGAAGAGGGTGAGTGGGGAGCTGCTGCTGGGGAAAGTGAGGTGACTGCAAGTGCACCGCCTGCTGGAAACAGGCCTGCCTGGACTGCCGTTCCCAGGGGGCATGAGAGAGGCGCTACGGAAGAGGGTGAGTGGGGAGCTGTTGCTGGGGAAAGTGAGGTGACTGCAAGTGCACCGCCTGCTGGAAACAGGCCTGCCTGGACTGCCGTTCCCAGGGGGCATGAGAGAGGCGCTACGGAAGAGGGTGAGTGGGGAGCTGCTGCTGGGGAAAGTGAGGTGACTGCAAGTGCACCGCCTGCTGGAAACAGGCCTGCCTGGACTGCCGTTCCCAGGGGGCATGAGAGAGGCGCTACGGAAGAGGGTGAGTGGGGAGCTGCTGCTGGGGAAAGTGAGGTGACTGCAAGTGCACCGCCTGCTGGAAACAGGCCTGCCTGGACTGCCGTTCCCAGGGGGCATGAGAGAGGCGCTACGGAAGAGGGTGAGTGGGGAGCTGCTGCTGGGGAAAGTGAGGTGACTGCAAGTGCACCGCCTGCTGGAAACAGGCCTGCCTGGACTGCCGTTCCCAGGGGGCATGAGAGAGGCGCTACGGAAGAGGGTGAGTGGGGAGCTGCTGCTGGGGAAAGTGAGGTGACTGCAAGTGCACCGCCTGCTGGAAACAGGCCTGCCTGGACTGCCGTTCCCAGGGGGCATGAGAGAGGCGCTACGGAAGAGGGTGAGTGGGGAGCTGCTGCTGGGGAAAGTGAGGTGACTGCAAGTGCACCGCCTGCTGGAAACAGGCCTGCCTGGACTGCCGTTCCCAGGGGGCATGAGAGAGGCGCTACGGAAGAGGGTGAGTGGGGAGCTGCTGCTGGGGAAAGTGAGGTGACTGCAAGTGCACCGCCTGCTGGAAACAGGCCTGCCTGGACTGCCGTTCCCAGGGGGCATGAGAGAGGCGCTACGGAAGAGGGTGAGTGGGGAGCTGCTGCTGGGGAAAGTGAGGTGACTGCAAGTGCACCGCCTGCTGGAAACAGGCCTGCCTGGACTGCCGTTCCCAGGGGGCATGAGAGAGGCGCTACGGAAGAGGGTGAGTGGGGAGCTGCTGCTGGGGAAAGTGAGGTGACTGCAAGTGCACCGCCTGCTGGAAACAGGCCTGCCTGGACTGCCGTTCCCAGGGGGCATGAGAGAGGCGCTACGGAAGAGGGTGAGTGGGGAGCTGCTGCTGGGGAAAGTGAGGTGACTGCAAGTGCACCGCCTGCTGGAAACAGGCCTGCCTGGACTGCCGTTCCCAGGGGGCATGAGAGAGGCGCTACGGAAGAGGGTGAGTGGGGAACTGCTGCTGGGTGGGTGGTGGGTGGGTGGGTGGGTGGGTGGGTGGGTGGGTGAGGTGAATCCGTGGAATGACTCGGTGGAATGGCTCCGTGAGGTGGCTCTGTGAGGTGGCTCCGTGAGGTGGCTTCCAAGGTGTTGCACAGTGCACCACCTGCTGGCGGCGGACCAAGCCACGCTGCTGTTCCCTGCAGGGATGAGAGAGGCGCGTATTAAGCGGGTGAGTGGGGATATTTGCTCCGTGGGCTGGCTGGGTGAGTGGGAATCCGTAGCTGGGTTGGTGAGATGACTCTGCCAGGTTACTATTGAAGCACCATCAGCTAGTGGCTGCACAGCTGGTCCGCGGGGGGGGGATGAGGGAGGTGCTGAGGAAGCGGGAGTGGGGCACTGCAGAGGAAGTGCGGTGCTTGAGGGACGGGGACTCAAAACAACTATTATGTTTCTCTGCCAGTGCTCCGTGGTTTCCGTGCTTCTCTGACAGATACCAATCTACTCCTCTCCTGCCCCAATTGCTGAATGTGATGTGTGACCACATGCCATGCCACGCCATACCACGCCCTGCCACGCCGTATCACGCCATATCACGCCATACCACGCCGTACCACGCCATATCACGCCATACCACGTCATACCACGCGATACCACGCCCTTCCACGCCCTGCCACGCCCTGCCCTGCCATGCCATGCCATGCCACAGGGCGAGGAGTACAAGCTCTTCTGGCCGCACCGAGCTGAGTTCGTGCGCATGGCGGTGAGTGGTGAGGCTGCTAGGCGTGCAGGCAGTGAGTTGCGCTCTGGCGGCTTATTGAGCAAGGCACTCTCGTGTCCCCGTTAAGCGGTGTTTGAGCTCACCGGCCATTTCTCCAGAATCCGAAGAGAGCCGGGGCTGGTCAGCTCCCTTCTATCAGTGCTTTGCCTGCTCCCATACGCAACGTGTTGCATGTGCTTGCCTTGCCTTTCATATTTTTGCGTGCGGTGCCTGTGCAGGTTAAGTTCGGGGCAGTGATCATCCCCTTTGCCTCTGTGGGCGTTGACGATGGTTACAACGTGAGTGGCACCTGTACACCAGCAGTGTAGTTGTTCCGGCATGAGTATGATGGTTATGATGTAGATGTGATCACCGCAGCAGTGTAGGTGTATGGCACACTCAACATGCCACACTGCTACGTTGTGCCTCTGTGTGTGGCCCGTGTGTGCGTCTCGTTGTGGTCGTGCTGCAGGTTCCAGCATCTTCCCGTCGCCACTCCATATTTCCCCACGGCTTCTCCCTCCACAAGTCGTACTGGATGAGGACAAGAAGATAAGAGAGTCGATGGGCGATGCGTTGCATTGCAAGGCGATACACCTGTTGCTCACCATATCCCGCGCCCCCCTCGTGCCCCCCCCTGCAGTTAAGTTTTCAGTCGCCTCAAAACCAGACACCTGTTACCCTCCATATCCCGCGCCCCCTTCGTTCCCCCCCCGGCAGTTCGTACTGGATGCGGACGAGCTGCCCAACATCCCCGTTTATGGCGAGAAGATCAATGAGTTCATGGACTACGTGCCTAAAGTCAGGTCAGAGTGAACACCACTTGGGTGCCATAGGTCTTTACGTGGCAGCAACTCAAGAAAACGCTTAAGTAAAAAACAGAGTGTAGAACTTGCTTTTTGAAAAAATCTTTGTGAAGATTTGATGGTAACCGGTTTCGGCTCGAGAGCCTTCTTCAGACCACAAAGAAATAAGCAAGACTAGCTAGCCTATAAATACCACCTCGAGGACTCCTCGCGAGGCATTCCTCTGCGGGGTCTCGACGATGGCCGGGGAAAAGAGAAAAACAAAACAGTACAAATATACTGTAGTCTAACACTTATGAGCAGAAATAAGAAAAATTCCAGCTCTCTTCGCCAGCCTCAAAGCGAGAATGGTTCTTCTTGAAGCGAAAGTTCCGTGTGGCATTATAACGAGATGACTTTTGAGTCGACTCAAAAGTCATTTTGAGTCGACTCAACAGGTCAGCGCACAGGCTATGTGCCTAAAGCCAGGTCAGCGCACAGGCTATGTGCCTAAAGTCAGGTCAGCGCACAGGCTATGTGCCTAAAGCCAGGTCAGCGCACAGGCTATGTGCCTAAAGCCAGGTCAGCGCACAGGCTATGTGCCTAATGCCAGGTCAGCGCACAGGCTATGTGCCTAAAGCCAGGTCAGCGCACAGGCTATGTGCCTAAAACCAGGTCAGCGCACAGGCTATGTGCCTAAAGACAAATCAGCGCACAGGCTATGTGCCTAAAGCCAGGTCAGCGCACAGGCTATGTGCCTAAAACCAGGTCAGCGCACAGGCTATGTGCCTGAAGCCAGGTCAGCGCACAGGCTATGTGCCTAAAGCCAGGTCAGCGCACAGGCTATGTGCCTGAAGCCAGGTCAGCGCACAGGCTATGTGCCTAAAGCCAGGTCAGTGCAGAGGCTATGTGCCTAAAGCCAGGTCAGCGCAGAGGCTATGTGCCTAAAGCCAGGTCAGCGCAGAGGCTATGTGCTTAAAGCCAGGTCAGCGCAGAGGCTGTGTGCCTAAAGCCAGGTCAGCGCACAGGCTATGTGCCTAAAGCCAGGTCAGCGCATAGGCTATGTGCCTAAAGCCAGGTCAGCGCACAGGCTATGTGCCTAAAGCCAGGTCAGCGCACAGGCTATGTGCCTAAAGCCAGGTCAGCGCACAGGCTATGTGCCTAAAGCCAGGTCAGCGCACAGGCTATGTGGCTAAAGCCAGGTCAGCGCACAGGCTATGTGCCTAAAGACAGGTCAGCGCACAGGCTATGTGCCTAAAGCCAGGTCAGCGCACAGGCTATGTGCCTAAAGCCAGGTCAGTGCACAGGCTATGTGCCTGAAGCCAGGTCAGCGCACAGGCTATGTGCCTAAAGCCAGGTCAGCGCAGAGGCTATGTGCTTAAAGCCAGGTCAGCGCAGAGGCTGTGTGCCTAAAGCCAGGTCAGCGCAGAGGCTATGTGCCCAAAGCCAGGTCAGCGCACAGACTATGTGCCTAAAGCCAGGTCAGCGCAGAGGCTATGTTCCCAAAATCAGCGCGCACATTCTCCTGGCCTCAGCAGTGCCTTTTCCTTGGAGCAAGTAGAGCTTTTCCTTCTCTGTCCAAACCACCCTCTTCTGATTCCCACCTCTATCCTCCGACCCCTCCCTCCCCTCTCCTCCCACCCGTCCCCTCCCTCCACTCTCCTACCACCCCCCAGGGATGATGAGATAGCAGGGCCGGCAGCAGAGCGCTTCCTGGCGCCCGTGGTGCTGCCCAACAAGATCAACCGCCTCTACATCAAGTTCGGGGCTCCCATCCGCACTGCTGGTAGGAATCTCTCTGACCTCCAGTCAGCCTCTTGGTCTGACGCCCCTCAGCGTGCTAAGTGCGCTTCCTAGCGTCTTCAATGCCGCCCAGCACGGTATTGCTCAACCACCTGAACCTCGGATTCATGCCTCCCATCTGCGCCGCTGGTACATGCCTCCCATCTGCGCTGCTGGTACATGCTTCCCATCTGCGCCGCTGGTATTGCCTCCCATCTGCACCGCTGGTATTGCCTCCTATATGCGCTGCTGGTACATGGTTCCCTTCCTTCCCCTCCACTCTCTCCGTCTGAGGCACCTGAAACAGGCTTTCCCTCCCCTCCTTGGAAAATATCGTTTTGCCCGTAGCCACTTGGAGGAGCGGAGGAGTGGCAAATAGGGCGCCTGCTTTCTAGGTGACTTTTGAGTCGACTCATAAGTCACTTGGAGGCGCGGAGGAGTGACGAATAGGGCGCCTGCTTTCTAGGTGACTTTTGAGTCGACTCAAAAGTCACTTGGAGGAGCGGAGGAGTGGCGAATAGGGCGCCTGCTTTCTCCCTTCCCATTTTTTCCCGCCTCCCCCCCCCCCCCCCTCTCTTCCTCCTCCTCTCTCCCCCATTGCCCCCCACCAGGCATGCAGGAGGTACTAACAGACCAAGAGGCAGCAGCGGCACTCTATGTACACGTTAAGGGAGAGGCGGAGGGGGGGATGGTGGACCTGCTTTTTCGCTTACCCATTTCCACACACCTCCTTCCCCCCCTCTCCCCTTTCCCCCCTCCTCCCTCCCCCACTCCCCCACGCCAGGCATGCGCGAGGTGTTGACAGACTTAGAGGCAGCAGCGGCGCTCTACGCACATGTGAAGGGAGAGGTGGAGGGGGGGATACAGTACCTGCTGAGGAAGCGGGAAGAGGACCCGTACAAAGATCTGGGCGCTCGGCTGCTGTATGAAGCCACGTGGGGGGGAGAACGTCAGGCACCGACCTTCAAGCCATGAAGAAACCGGTATATTGATAGGTGGTTCGGGGAAGGGATAGGGTACCCGCTGAGGAAGCGGGAGGAGGATCTGTACTGAGACCTCCCTGCTAGGCTGCTGTATGAAGCCACGTGGGGGGGCACGTGGCAAGCACCCACTCTCAACCCATGAGGACATGGCCGAGCAGCGATAGAGTCTCCTTTGAAGGAAGAGGGGGGATTTGTGCAGAGATGCCCGTGCCAGGCTGCTGCTGCACTGTATGAAGCCCCGTGGAGAGTGAAAGTCAGGCTGTAGCTTTTAGGCCTTGGTGGTGTTGTTGCGCTGTGGGGCGCAACTGGTGAATATGCAAAGCATATATACCGCACATAGCTGCTTCAAGCATGCGTGTATCAGTGCTTCTCGGTGTCATCTCACATGTTGATGTGTTAATGCATGCACGGGGTATCGACCTTGTGGCAATAAGCAACACTCAACCAACAAGCCCTCGAAACTACTCTGCTACCAGTAGGAGAATTCACACTGCTCCTTGGATAGGTAAACATATGGCCATCGCCCTTACTTCCCAAATCCTTCATGCAGTTTATACGTGTGCATCGTTCCAATCACACGATGAAGCCCCAAAGCAAATGCCCAACTTGAACCTGGGCCTGTGTAAATCCATCTATACTGGATGCGTGCTCAGAATCGCCGTTGGAATTCCCAATTGACAAGTGAAATTTCAGCCTGCTTTTTTATGCTGATACCATCTGGTAGGCTAATGGAGAAGTGTGAAATGATGAAATGTACACAACGACACTCAAACAAGCGCGTGCGACTCGAGCGAAGTGCGCGCGTCGAGGAGACGCATCCCCTGGGACTCACTTGATTTTCAAGTTTCAACTTGGCTCTACCACTGACAGACACTGCCCAACCGCTCTCTTTCGCTTTTTGCTGCTGCTACTGCTGCTGCTGCTGCCGCTGCTGCTGCTGTTGCTCGGGAGCAGTGACAGACAGACAGGTTCCAGGAAAATCCACGCAATACCCCTTCCCTGCTCCTCCAGGCTCCAGGCCTCACCTCGGCACTGTCGCTAACAGTAACAGCCACTGCCCGCCCTCTCTCCACCATGCCTACTGCTCCTCATCGCCCCTCTCACTCCCCCAATTCCTTGACTCTCAACCGCGCACTCTCACTAACAGCGGTAGCCAAGCCCCTCCTTACCCATGCATGTCTCTCCTCCAACGCCCCTCTCACTTCCCCAATCCCTTGAGTCTCAACCGCGCACTCTCACTCACAGCAGCAGCCAAGCCCCTCTCCACCCACTCCTGCTGCTCCTCCCCAGCGCTCCCCACTGCTGCTCGGAAGCAGGCAAACGCCAGGCAGTCCCCAGGTGCCGATGTGAAGCCCTGCAACAGGGGTGGTCAAGGGAAAGTGGCGGAATGTAAAATGCGGAGGGAGTGGAAAGCAACTGGCGTGGGATGCACCCATGCAGATGCAAGGCAGGCAGAATCCAACTGCTGCTGCGAAGCCTGTAAGGAGGGGAGAGAAGGGAAGTCCAGAAATGATATCTGGAAAAAAGTGGCTTCGCCCGGACTTGAACCGGAGACCTTCAGTGTGTTAGACTGACGTGATAACCAACTACACCACGAAACCACGTCCATAATTTGGTCAGTTGGCTCCATGACTCAAAAATCAATACCTAGGTAGAGCACACTTGTCTATTCAGCTGTTAGCACCCGGCTGACACCTGTGAGGCTGACTGCATGCGGACTCACCTCTCTGGAATTAGGTCTCCTCGCATGGTCCCGCATGGCCCTCACCAGCTCCCTCACATCCCCTGCATCCAGCCCCTGCTGTGCAAGATAAGCAGCTGCTTTCTGTAACAGGAAAGGGCGGAGGGGGTAAAAGTGGTGGTGCATGGGGTGGGAAGGGAGGAGGTGGCGGGTAAGAGGGAACAAAGCATGGGGGACGGGGCATGGGGGACGGGGCATGGGGGACGGGGCATGGGGGACGGGGGCATGGGGGACGGGGCATGGGGGACGGGGCATGGGGGACGGGGCATGGGGGACAGGGCATGGGGGACGGGGCATGGGGGACGGGGCATGGGGGACGGAGCATGGGGAGAGTGATGGTTCATGAGAGGTAGGGAAGGGCAGCTCGCGCATGGCTCTTCCTGAAACTACCCGAGATAATCACACTGTGCTGCTAATGCAACCAGAACTGGAAGATGAGAAAGAGGTGTCTGTAACACGCACCCGTCTGTCGTCCTTGGGCAGAGTCCGCAGCTCATACAGCAGCTCCGCACTCTGCTCTGCTTGAAACGCCTCCATCAGGTCTACACCCGTGCTGCTGCCCGTGCTGCTGCCGCCCCCCTCCCCTTGCTCCTCTGCCTCCCGGTTCCCCTCTTGTGGGCCTGGCAGCAGCGACTCGTACACCTGCAGCAGAGCAAGGGGCGGGGAGATGAGACGCTGGAGTGGGGCATGGGGCGTGGGTCATTGGGTATGGGACATCCAACATGGGGTATAGGGCAGGGCTGTTGCCGGTGCTGCCGCCCTGTCGCCCTCCTGTGGGCCTGGCAGCAGCGACTCATACACCCGCAGCAGAGCAAGGGGCGGGGAGGTGAGGCATGGGACGTGGGTCATTGGATGTATGGGGCAACCATGCCCCCCTGGTAGGCAACCATGCCCCCCTGGTAGGCAACCATGCCCCCCTGGTATGCAACCATGCCCCCCTGGTACGCGACCACTCAACCTTCAGTACGGGTGATATGGGGTGATATGCGTATGGGGTGATGCAGGTGATCTGGGTTGATGCGGGTGATATGGGGTGATATTGGACTCTTGCGTCGGGCCCTTGGATTGGACTCTTGCATCGGGCCATTGGATTGGGGGGTGATGTGGGTGATATAGGGTGATATAGGGTGATATAGGGTGATATAGGGTGATATAGGGTGATATAGGGTGATATTGGATTATACTGGGTGATGCAGGTGATATGGGGTGATATGGGGTGGTGGGAAACCAGTCAGAAACCAGCATGGCATCACCTGAGCCACCACCACCAGCATGGTCTGCCGCCCATTAGTGATGCAGCATGTGGTATGTGTGGAATGCTGAGGTCTACGGGTTAAGGGATATAAACGATGGGACTTGGCATCACCTGAGCAGCTACCACCAGCAACCGCCACCCACGAGCCACCAACCGCCATGCAGGCAACCGCCCTGTGCGGTATGGGCGCCAGCATGTGTAACGTGAGTATGGGCGCCAGCATGTGTAACGTGAGTATGGACGCCAGCATGTGTAACGTGAGTATGGGCGCCAGCATGTGTAACGTGAGTATGGGCACCAGCATGTGTAACGTGAGTATGGACGCCAGCATGTGTAACATGAGTATGGACGCCAGCATGTGTAGCGTGAGTATGGGCGGCAGCATGTGTAACGTGAGTATGGGCGCCAGCATGTGTAACGAGAGTATGGTTGGCAGCATGTGTAACGTGAGTATGGGCGCCAGCATGTGTAACGAGAGTATGGACGCCAGCATGTGTAACGTGAGTATGGGCGCCAGCATGTGTAACGTGAGTATGGGCGCCAGCATGTGTAATGTGAGTATGGGCGCCAGCATGTGTAACGTGAGTATGGGCGCCAGCATGTGTAACGTGAGTATGGGCGCCAGCATGTGGCGCGTGCGGTATGGGCGCCAGCATGTGGCGTGTGCGGTATGGGCGCCAGCATGTGGCACGTGCGGTATGGGCGCCAGCATGTGGCGCATGTGGTATGGGCGCCAGCATGTGGCACGTGCGGTATGGGCGCCAGCATGTGGCGCGTGCGGTATGGACGCCAGCATGTGGCGCGTGCGGTATGGGCGCCAGCATGTGGCGCGTGCGGTATGGACGCCAGCATGTGGCGCATGCGGTATGGGCGCCAGCATGTGGCACGTGCGGTATGGGCGCCAGCATGTGGCGCGTGCGGTATGGGCGCCAGCATGTGGCACGTGCGGTATGGGCGCCAGCAGGTGGCGCGTGCGGTATGGACGCCAGCATGTGGGGGATGGTATATGTGGGAGTTGGCATCACCTGAGCCGCCACCACTAGCATGGTGAGCCGCCCGTGGGCTGCCATGGCCACATCCGCCACCTCCTCCGCTGTCATGCCTGCTTGCTGCAGCTGCCTGCTCATGGTATGGCATGGAGCATGCGGGGGGAGACATGGGGCAACAAGAAAGAGAGGGGGGGGGAAGAGGGGGGGAGCTTAAAGGCGGGTCTGACCATGAGCCAAAGAGCCTCCATGGCCACATCTGCCACCTCCTCTGCTGTCATGCCTGTCTGCTTGCAGGTGTCTGCTCACGGGTGAGCGGGTGAGCGGGTGAGCAGGTGAGCGGGTGAGCGGGTGAGCGGGAGAGCAGGTGAGCGGGTGAGCAGTTCCTTGCCCTGTGTTGCCCTGCCTATTTAAGGCTCCTCTTTCTCTCATTTCTCAGTATTAGTTTGGGGTTTCGTTTTTCAGCAGCGGCTTGCGCCGGTGGCCTTCGGTCGCCGTCGCTCGCCCGCGTGGCCTGCGGCCGCGCCACTAGGGGAGAGTGGGGAGAAGTGGCGACAAGGCGCGGCTACAATGACATCCAGCAGCATACAAGCATGCAGCGGCCTACTACAATGACCTCCCGGCGGGTTACCCGCTGCTTCCAGTCGGCGGCAACCCTCGCTCCGCCCCTACCGCTCCCTGAACACGGGAAGCCGCCTGGGGAGGGACTCCTTCTCTACCGCCGCCGCCTCCTCAGGCGGGACCCGGCTCGCCCAACCCAGCTAACAGCTGCGTCATACGCTCGCCTACAGTGCGGAGAAGTGACACGGCGGCCCCAACCCAACTGCATCTGCAGCCGACCATGTGTATATCTGCTGACACAGCGCCTCTAGGGGAGTGGAGCTGATCTCCTCCCCCCCGGGCTGCGGACACTCCGGCTCCAAAGCCGCCAACAGCCGCCCAGCCACGCGCCGGCACTCCTGAGTGCGCTGGGCGCTCAGCCGCGCCGCCACCAGCTGCTCGTCCATCTCCTCCCACCCCAGCCGCGCCACCTTCACCGCCATCGCTGTCACCTTCTGCAGTGTCGCACGAATTGACATAACAAATGTGTTATGGAAATTCGTGGGACAACTCGAGTAGGTTAAGCGGGGAGGGGAAGCAAAGAGGTGTACAGGGTGATGTCGATAAAAGGGGAGGCACAGTGATGGGTGCCCAGGCCGAGGTTGGCAGCAGTGGGGCGCTACGACAGTTGGCAGAGGGACATGCAAGAAGGGTACAGCTCAGTGGTGACGAGGCCGGTTAGGGGAAGAGACATGCAGTGAGGCGAGAGGCAGCGTCGATGGCTGGCGACACGGAGCCATCACGGAGGAAGAAAACCCCGAAATGGTTTGAGGCTGGTTACACGGGAGGGAAGGGTATGCGCTCCGGAGTGAATCTGCAGGGAGGTAGCCACAAAACTGCGTGTGCGTAGTTGTGTAGCTACTTCTGTTTGTTCTCTCATCATCATAGGAAAGCGTGTATGCTCAGTGAAGTAATGGATTCATTCAGGAGCACAGCTGGAACTATGTAGAGGGGCCAGACAGGGTGAGTGCGAGCTAAGAAAGCTTCCTTAGAGCTTTTCTTAGAGCGGGAGAGATCAGTAACAATCACGTATCAGAGGAGGAAAGGAAAGGCACCAGAGGAGCCGGGCTAGAAGGGAGAGCAGAGCCAAAGGGAAGAGGGGACGCGACAGCAGGCGGGACAGGCGCTCCAGGCTCTCCCTGGTACCTGCCCCCAGGGGATCCACCTCCTCATACTGGTCTGGGCGGCGACTTCGGTCCAGCACCACGCGGCTCGGCACTGCAAAACCCCCTGAGTGTCGGCGCTGGGGGCAACGGCGGTGCGCTCACCGGAGGCGGCGGCGGCGGAGGCTGCTGCGGTGGCAGCAGCTGTGGCGGCTGCAGAGGGGGCTGCGGATGCCGCAGCTGCTGCAGCGGCAGAGCGGGGGGAACGGCCATCGCCGCTGGCACGTAACCAGGATGCGGAGGGCACTGAAGGGGGTGTGCGAGGAGGGATTCGGGTACCACGGCGGGTCCAGGCGAATCAACCGGGGAGGAGAAGGGGGGCAGGGAGGAGGTGGAAGAGGGGGTGTGCGAGGAGAAGGACCCACGGACAGATCAAGAGGTGGAGGCAGGCGGCCTGCCAGCGACTCTGACGACCCATCCGCACGCCCAAGGGCCTGCATCACCGCAGGCACAGCGGCAATGGCCCGCTCCGCTACCGCCGACGTCGCCGCTGCCGCTACCTCCGCCATCGGGCCCAGGAGTCCTGGACGACGATTCCGCGAGTCCCGACCTTGGGGCCCTCCGCGCGCCGCCTTCAGACGACCAGCCAGCCCGCGCTGACGCTGCGGCGGTGACCGCTCCGGCAGAGGAGTCCGCCGGCGTACTGCCCGACGGAGATCGGCTCAGAGCGCAGGGGAGGGGGACGGGCGATATCCGCGCGCGGCAGGAGAGCGCACCTGCCCGTGTGGACGCGACGGCGACCGCTCACGACCGCGCGCTCGGGAGGCCATCGGTACGACGGCAGGTCGCGCTAGACCGATGGCTTTCGCCGGGGGTCGGCCCGCAGCTCGACGCGGGGACGTCCCGAGGAGGCACGACAAGGGGACAGGGACGGGGAGGCAGCGGGAGATCGCGTGGGCGGACGGCGCGGGGTTTTCCGGTCGTACGAGGAGGACACGGCGGCGCTCCACGACCGGGGTCCTATGTCCGCGCAGTGCGCCGAAGGCTAGCTGGGGGAGCCACGGGGGCGGGGGGAACTGAGGGAGCGGGAGACGCGGGAGCTGCGCTAAGGGAGGAGGCGAAGAGAGACACGGCTGGTGGCGAGGGGAACCCGGAGGCGAGCTCAGGGGATGAGCAGGAGTCTGAAGAGGTTGAGATGGGAGCCCGTGGGGGAGGCACATCCAACCCAAACCGCACCGCCCCCAATTGAAATCGAACCGTAGACACAAATGTCCCCGATTCGCGACCCAAGCTGTTTTCGCCAACCGCCCTCGCCCGCCGCGAGGACCTGTTCAGCGAAGTGGCGAGGTGGGACCCGGGGCCCCTTGGCGACAGTCGTCAGCCACCCCTCACCCGCCGTGCCCCCCGCCCTATTCGCGAAGGCCTCGCCATCTACCTCTTGACCCCACTCGTCCGATTGGCAAAAAAATCTGACTCAGCGCCAGCATGGCGCTTGCTTTTCTTCCTCCCCCGCCTGATCCTCCGTGTCAGCTCAACCAGACGCCCAAACTGGAAGTCGATCTCAGGCCGCCTGGATAAGTTCCAGCAGGGGCTTTGGGGGGAAATGTACACCGAAGCAGCCGCTGCAACCTCCCTGCCACCACTCCCACGCCACAACCCAGACAGCACGGGCATGGTCGCCAGAGCTGAGTACCTCGCTAAGCGCGGGAACCTGCGCAAGGCTGTCCAAGCCTTGGAGGCCACCCCGGTCAGCCCGACAAATGATGAGACACTTCGGGCTCTACACTCAAAACACCCCGCTGCAGAAACCCCCCTGCCAGCCTGGCTCGCCACCTTCACCCCAGAGGAAGTCCCCTCCATCTCTCTCAAGGACTTCCACAGGTCGCTGTCCCAACTGCCTAACGGAGTGGGTGCTGGTCCCTCAGGCACAACCTTCGAGCACCTACGAATTGCAGCCTTGGCAAACAGCGACATCTTCTCTCACCTGCATCGCCTGTGCAACCTCGCGCTAGCTGGCCACCTCTGCCAGGAGACTGTCGAGCTTCTCACCTCGTCGCGGCTTCTAGCATTCACGAAACTGGGGGGAGGGACGAGGCCCATCACGGTAGGGGAATGCCTCCACCGCATTTTCGCCAAGGCCGCGCTAATCCTCGCGGCGAAAGCGGCTCGACTACACTTCACGCCCCTGCAATTTGGGGTCGTAGTGCCCGGCGGATCCGAGGCCCTCATCCACCTCGCACGGACCTACCTCGAGACCCACCCGCGCCATCTCGCCCTCCAAATCGACCTCACCAACGCGTTCAACGCGGTTGAACGTGCGGCGGTCGCCGACGGGCTCAGAGGCACACCTCTCGCCTTCCTCATCCCCTTCGTCCGCCTCTCGTACGACACGCCCTCTGGCCTGTACATCGACCATGGCTTTGACGCGCCGCCGCTCTCAAGCGCTCGCGGGGTCTGGCAAGGAGACCCCATGGACCCCCTCCTCTTCAGCGCCGGCCTGCACCCCGCCCTCGTCGCCACCGCCGCCGCACGCCCCGCCGTCTGCGTGCTCGCGTATGCGGACGATATCACGCTTCTGGGCCCGCCAGAAGAGTGCGTCGCCGCCTTCCAATCCCTCACTGCCGCCGTCTCCAGCAGGGGATTGCGCCATAACCTCGCCAAGTGCGAGGCCTGGTCCCCCTCCCCAACCGCTGACCCCGCCCGCCCCGAAGGCCTCTCCCTCTCCCCAAGTGGCCTCTGCGTCCTCGGCAGCCCCGTGGGACCTGAGCGCGCCTGCACCGCCGCCATCCGCAGCCGCCTCGCTGAAGCAGCCGCTCCCCTCCCCCTCCTCGAGAAGCTGGACCCCCAGACATGCCTCCTCCTCATCACCCGCTGCCTCTGCCGCCGCGCTTCCTACCTCCTCCGCTCGACACCCCCGCACCTCCTTTCGGACGCGGACTGGTCCAGCTGGGGGGAGCGCCTCTTCACCACAGTGCTGGCGGCCTGCTCCCTGCCAGCCCCGCGGCAAGCAGCGGAGCGAAGGCGAGTCTGGACGCAGGCCTCGCTCCCGCCGACCCTGGGCGGACTCGGCATCTCCGACCCTGCCGCCGGGGCAGCCACAGCTATCTCACCTCAGTAGCAGCGGCAGCCCACCTGCTGGGGGACATGGTGGGGCGCCTGCACCCCGATCTCGCCAACCTCCTCCCCCTCTTCGAGCCCGCTGCAAACGCTGCCGCCCCGCTGCCGTGCCTCCTCGCCTCATTGGAGGCCCTACTGCCAGCAGCCGCCGTCGCCACCCTTCGTGACGCCCGGGCTTCGTCGGACCCGCCCAAGGTGCAGCGGGACCTGGCTCTGGAGGTACAAGCCTACAGCTTCACTGCCCTCCTGGAAGAAAGCCGCCGCCTCCAACCTAACCCCCTCATGGGGCACACGCAGCGGCTCCTCTCCCTCGTCGGGCCCGGAGCGGGGGACTGGCTCCTCGCCATCCCCCTCACACCCGCCCTCCGCCTCCCCCTTGCCCACTTCGCCTTCGCCGTCGCCTTCCGCCTCGGCCTGCCTCACACGGTGCCCGGGGTGTGCGACTGCATTGACGAGGTCGAAATCACCGACCCCAGGCTGCCCAACCACCTCCTCCGCTGCCACACCGGCCCAGGGCGGACGGCCACCCACCACGGCCTTCGTGACGAAGCGGCCAGCATAGCCAAGGAGTCCGGGCTCATCACCCGGACGGAGACCAACGTGTTCACCCGGGTGGCGAACCTGCTGGCTGACGTCGCTCGCCATCCGCCATCCCTCCACGGGGGCGGTTTGGGTGTGCGACGTCACGGTCACCGAATCTATCACACCCAACGACCCGCAGGCTAGGAGGGGGACCGGCTACGCAGCAGCCTTGCGAACCCGCGACAAGGAGGACAAGTATGCCCCCCCGGCCCGACCCGAATGGGTCGGCTTCTTCCCCATGGCCATTGAGACATACGGCTGCAACGCCCCGGGGGTCCTTGCCTACCTCTGCCTCTGCGCCGAGCTGGCCACCAAGAGGCAGTTCCACGCCGCCCCCACCTCCTGCGAGACCACCAAGATCTTCCATACCTACCGCCAACGCTGGTCCATCGCCCTGCAGAAGGGGCAAGCCGTGGCTCTCAACAACAAGAGAAACTCGGCCCTTGCCGCCGATGTGTGGCCCAATAGCGGCCCCTCGGAGCCCATGGACCTGGGCACCCGCATGCATGCCCTAGAACCCGAGGGGGAGCTCCCCTAGAGGGCGGGAGCCCGGCCTCTGTAGCTAGCTAACACCTGCTTTTGGATTGGTTGGTCTGTTTGCCTTGCTGCGAATGTATTTACCCCCCCATTAATAAAGGACCATTCGGGGGAGCGGGTGAGCGGGTGAGCTGGAGAGCAAGTGAGCGGGTGAGCGGGTGAGCGGGTGAGCGGGTGAGCGGGTGAGCGGGAGAGCGGGAGAGAGGGTGAGCGGGAGAGCGGGTGAGCGGATGAGCGGGAGAGCGGGTGAGCGGGTGAGCGGGAGAGCAAGTGAGCGGGTGAGCGGGTGAGCGGGAGAGCGGGAGAGCGGGAGAGCGGGAGAGGGGGTGAGCGGGAGAGCGGGTGAGCGGGAGAGCGGGTGAGCGGGTGAGCGGGTGAGCGGGAGAGCAAGTGAGCGGGTGAGCGGGTGAGCGGGAGAGCGGGAGAGCGGGAGAGCGGGAGAGCGGGTGAGCGGGAGAGCGGGTGAGCAGGAGAGCAGGTGAGCGGGTGAGCGGGTGAGCGGGAGAGCGGGTGAGCGGGTGAGCGGGTGAGCGGGTGAGCGGGAGAGCGGGTGAGCGGGAGAGCGGGAGAGCGGGTCAGCGGGAGAGCGGGAGAGCGGGTGAGCGGGTGAGCGGGTGAGCGGGAAAGCGGGTGAACGGGTGAGCGGGAGAGCGGGTGAGCGGGTGAGCGGGTGAGCGGGTGAGCGGGTGAGCGGGAGAGCGGGTGAGCGGGAGAGCGGGTGAGCGGGTGAGCGGGGGAGCGGGTGAACGGGTGAGCGGGTGAGCGGGAGAGCAAGTGAGCGGGTGAGCGGGTGAGCGGGAGAGCGGGAGAGCGGGAGAGCGGGTGAGCGGGAGAGCGGGTGAGCAGGAGAGCGGGTGAGCAGGTGAGCGGGAGAGCGGGTGAGCGGGTGAGCAGGAGAGCGGGTGAGCGGGAGAGCGGGAGAGCGGGTGAGCGGGAGAGCGGGAGAGCGGGTGAGCGGGTGAGCGGGTCAGCGGATGAGCAGGTGAGCGGGAGAGCGGGTGAGCGGGTGAGCGGGAGAGCGGGTGAGGGAGGGTGAGCGGGTGAGCGGGAGAGCGGGTCAGCGGGTGAGCGGGGGAGCGGGTGAACGGGTGAGCGGGAGAGCGGGAGAGCGGGTGAGCGGGAGAGCGGGTGAGCGGGAGAGCTGGAGAGCGGGTGAGCGGGGGAGCGGGTGAACGGGTGAGCGGGAGAGCGGGTGAGCGGGTGAGCGGGTGAGCGGGTGAGCGGGTGAGCGGGAGAGCAAGTGGGCGGTGAGCGGGTGAGCGGAAGAGCGGGAGAGCGGGTGAGCAGGAGAGCGGGTGAGCGGGTGAGCGGGTGAGCGGGAGAGCGGGTGAGCGGGTGAGCGGGAGAGCGGGAGAGCTGAAGGAACTAGCTTTGAGGAGAAAAAGATAGATTGAGTAGGGAGCCAAGAGACTCTTTTGGACAAACAAGGAGCAAGGAAGAGATGGAGGGGAAGGTCTCCCATTGGCCGTAATGTAGACCAATGGGAGAGGTAGCTTGGAGGACAAGCAGCCACAAAGTGTGGTGCTCTCCGATTGGCCACAATGTGGACCAATGGGGGAGGTTGCTTGGAAGGTAAGCAACCACAAAGTGTGGTGATTGGTGATTGGTTGGGTCTTGGGACCAAGGATCATTTGGTTGGAATAGTGCCAACCAAATGTCTAGGACCAAATCCAATCTTCACCAACCCAAATGTGGGGTTAGTCAACCCAACCAACAACCCCCAATAAATATAATGACTACACCTTCTAATCTAGGCATGCATGTTGTAAACATATATATTTTACAACAAGAGCAGGTGAGCGGGTGAGCGGGTCAGCAGATGAGCAGGTGAGCGGGAGAGCGGGTCAGCGGGTGAGCGGGTGAGCGGGTCAGCGGGTCAGCGGCGCGGGTGAGCGGGTGAGCGGGAGAGTGGGTGAGCGGGTGAGCGGGTGAGCGGGAGAGCGGGTGAGCGGGTGAGCGGGTGAGTGGGAGTGCGGGTGAGCGGGTTAGTGGCGCGGGTCAGCGGGTGAGCGGGTGAGTGGGTGTGCGGGTGAGCAGGAGAGGGGGTGAGCGGGTGAGCGGGAGAGCGGGTCAGCGTGGGAGCGGGTGAGCGGGAGAGTGGGTAAGCGGGTGAGCGGGTGAGCGGGTCAGCAGGTGAGCGGGTGAGTGGGTGTGCGGGTGAGCGGGTCAGCGGCGCGGGTGAGCGGGTGAGCGGGAGAGTGGGTGAGCGGGTGGCAGTAAGCGGGTGAGGGGGAGAGTGGGTGAGCGGGTGAGCGGGAGAGCGGGTAAGCGGGTAAGCGGGTCAGCGGGTGAGCGGGAGAGCGGGTAAGCGGGTAAGCGGGTCAGCGGGTGAGCGGGTGAGCGGGTGAGCGGGAGAGCGGGTGAGCGAGTGAGCGGGAGAGCGGGTGAGGGGGAGAGCGGGTGAGCGGGAGAGCGGGTGAGCGGGTGAGCGGGTGAGCGGATGAGCGGGTGAGCAGGAGAGCGGGAGAGCGGGAGAGCGGGTCAGCGGGTCAGCGGGTGAGCGGGTCAGCGGCGCGGGTGAGCAGGAGAGTGGGTGAGCAGAGTGAGCGGGTGAGCGGGAGAGTGGGTGAGCGGGTGAGCGGGTGAGCGGGTGAGTGGGTGTGCGGGTGAGCGGGTCAGCGGCGCGGGTGAGCGGGTGAGCGGGTGAGCGGGAGAGTGGGTGAGCGGGTGGCAGTAAGCGGGTGAGCGGGTGAGCGGGTGAGCGGGTGAGCGGGAGAGCGGGTAAGCGGGTGAGCGGAGGTGGGCGGGTGAGCGGGGGTGTGCGGGGATGAGTGGGTGAGCGGGTGAGCGGGTGAGCGGGAGAGCGGGTAAGCGGGTGAGCGGAGGTGGGCGGGTGAGCGGGGGTGAGCGGGGATGAGTGGGTGAGCGGGTGAGCGGGTGAGCGGGAGAGCGGGAGAGCGGGTAAGCGGGTGAGCGGAGGTGGGCGGGTGAGTGGGGGTGAGCGGGGATGAGTGGGTGAGCGGGTGAGCGGGTGAGCGGGTGAGCGGGTGAGCGGGTGAGCGGGTGAGCGGGTGAGCAGGTGACCGGGTGAGCGGGGATGAGCGGGTTAGCGGATCAGCGGGTCAGCAGATCAGCGGGTCAGCGGGTCAGCGGGTGAGCGGGTGAGCGGGTGAGCGGGTGACCTGAGAGCGGGTGAGCGGGTGAGGGGATCAGCGGGTGAGAGGGTCAGCGGGTGAGCGGGTGAGCGGGTGAGCGGGTTAGCGGGTTAGCGGGTTTCACATGAGCAGCGTCTCTTCGTCCTCCCCTCCTTTCCCCCCACCCCCCCGCGAATGGTAAAGGAGGCAAATATATCAGACTGCAGGGCAGAAGAATCACCTGAAGGCATCAGCAGAATCACCTGGAGGCATCAGCAGAATCACCTGGAGGCATCAGCAGAATCACCTGGAGGCATCAGCAGAATCACCTGGAGGCATCAGCAGAATCACCTGAAGGGGTCTCACCTGACAGCTGCAGCGACCTCCTGCCAGGTGCCTCGCCTCTCCCTCACCACTCCCACCAGCTCCTCCATCCGCTCCCTTTCCTTCCGCTTCCCCTCCTCCGCCTCCCCCGGATCCCCTCCCCCGGCTGCGCCCACGGGGAACATAGGTGCGCCTGGAACTGAGGGGAGGGGGAGGAAGAGAGGATAGGCGGGAGCGCGGGGGGAAGGGTGAGATGCAGCGGAGACCTCTGGTGCGCCTGCATCTAAGGGCAGGCTGGGCCTGGGGAACGAGGAACGGGGAATGGGTACAAAGACGGAATCTGGGGGAGGTCGGATCTAAGGGCGGGCTGGCCCAGAAAAAAGTGGGGAAAGGTGGGGGAGGGGGCGAGGGAGGGGGCGATGGGGCAAGGGCAAGTAGGGCGGAAGGGGAGAGCGGAAGGGGGGCTTACTGGGCAGCGGGGGTGGGCGGAACTGCCCGAGGGCGGGCGGGGAGGGCGCGGTCATCATGCGCTTGATGTTTCGCGCGGAGCGGCTCATGACCGGCATTGGTGGCGGCGGCAGCGATGGCGGGCGCGAGCCGCCGCCGCCTTCTTGCGGCTCGCGCTGGGAGGAGGTGGCAGACGCTCTTAGAACGAGCGGCGCGCGGAGTTCAAGAGGTGCGCGCTTGAACGGCGCATGCTTGCGCGGTGGGAGGGGGGCGACTGGACGCCGCGCGAAGGCCGGGTGAGGAAGAAAGGCGAGGGAAGAGGGAGCGCGGGCGGCTAGCCCTGCTGCTGCGGGGGAGATCGGCGACATCGGATGGCAGCAACAGTGCGACACTGCTACACTGGGACAGTGCGACCGTGCGACAGTTCTACGTAAGGTGAGAATGCGGCTGTGTGTCAACGGTGAGAGGTGAAGTGGTGACAGCCTAGATCCTCCTCTGAATGTGTTACTGCAGAGACAGGAAGAGGTGCTGGGAAGAATGGAAGTGGTGCTGGGAAGAATGGAAGTGGTGCTGGGAAGAATGGAAGTGGTGCTGGGAAGAATGGAAGTGGTGCTGGGAAGAATGGAAGTGGTGCTGGGAAGGATGGAGCGGTGCAGTGGAGAATGCGGTGTACGCATTTTGCAAATTGCAGGGCAATCTTTGGCGCTGTTCGATTGAGAGGGCTGTGGCAAATTTGGCAGGGATGCTGGCAGGACGAAAAAGGCACGAAACTCTGACGTCATGCGTTTTAGCATGCTCCGATTTTGCGAATACGATGAAAAATTGAACAGCTTCTCATTTCACATTTAAAGCACTGGGCTAAATACACTATTAACGCCTTATCAAAAGCCAAACTACCTAAATTGCCATCTAATCACATATCGTGGCCTACAGGCTTAAGCAGCTAATTTGGGCATTTAAATCTTCGCCGTTTTCTACAGAATGTCCGCATGAAAGGTTTGGAGCAGGGAACTGCAGTTGCATTTGTTGGAACAAAGAGCACGAGCACAACACAGAGAGCACACGCACAACACAAACAGCAGCCCAAGCGAAAAGCACGTTAGCGAATCAGCAGGAAAATAAAAGGGGAATGAACTGCTCACGAGCAGGAGACACTACGGCAGGTTGGAAAGCAGGGGAGGGGGGAGCAGGGTGGGGTGGGGGCTTGGGGGGGGTGGAAGAAGCAACTAAAGCTAGGTAGCGAAAAGAAAGCCACTGACTTCATAGCTGCTCACAAAGGCTCACATAGGCTCACCACATCGGCTCTTCGTGGCGTAGGTCCCAGTGGGGCAGGAGTTGCACTTCCAGCCTTTATCTGGGGGGTTGGTCAGCGCATCCACCTCCCAGGGCGGCCAGTCCGCATACATGGGCGTGCACGCCTTGGCCCACTGGCACCGAAACGTGTTCCACAACCGCCGTTTCGCGCACGGGTTTCGCCTACACCCGCTAGTGCGCTGCCTGCGGGGGAAGCCGGTTACCCCGTTACAGCCGGTGGTGCCTGAGAGGCAGTTCATGGCGGCGTTGCACACGCGCAGGTGGCTGGGGGGGAGCGAGCCGGTGAGGAAGTTGACTGAGAGGAAGAGTGAGGTCAGCTTGGGGCCGATGGCCTTTATTGTGCCCGTCAGCTTGTTGCCTTGCAGTGATCTGAGAGGGAGGGGGGAGAGTGGGGAAGGGGGGGGAAAGGGAGGGAGTGAGCCGGAGCGGAAGTTAACTGAGAGGAAGGGAGAGGTGAGCTTGGGTCCCTTATTGTGCCCGTCAGCTTGTAGCCCTGTAGTGATCTGAGAGGGGAGGGAGATGGGAGCGCAAAGGGGGGTTGTGTGGGGAGGAGGGGGAGGGGATGGCGGTGAGGAATGGTAGGAAGTTGATAGAGAAAAGAGCGAAACGAGCTGTGGGTTGATGGCCCTTATTGTGCCATGCAGTGATGCAAAGGGGGGAGGAGGAGGAGGGAGGGGGGGGTGGGGTGGGGGAGGGGGAGGGGTGGTGGCGGGGGTTGGGGGAGGAGGGGCCAGAACAGAGGAACAAGGAAAACTGAGGGAAGTGGAACAAGATGAGAAACCGGGAAGGTGAGAGGAGCACGAAGCAGGAGAGGCAATCACTGGAAGGGCAAGAAGTGTAGGCATCTGGCACAGTGGCTGGAAGGGCAAGAAGTGTAGGCATCTGGCACAGTGGCTGGAAGGGCAAGAAGTGTAGGCATCTGGCACAGTGGCTGGAAGGGCAAGAAGTGTAGGCATCTGGCACAGTGGCTGGAAGGGCAAGAAGTGTAGGCATCTGGCACAGTGGCTGGAAGGGCAAGAAGTGTAGGCATCTGGCACAGTGGCTGGAAGGGCAAGAAGTGTAGGCATCTGGCACAGTGGCTGGAAGGGCAAGAAGTGTAGGCATCTGGCACAGTGGCTGGAAGGGCAGAAAATGTAGGCGTCTGGCACAGAGAGCCCCCTATGTCCTCCAAACGCAGGCAGACGGAGGGGAAGACGAGGGGGGGGGGAAATGAAAGGGGGGCTTTGGGTAACAGGAATGGTGAGAGCAGGCGGGACTGAAAGCAAGCAGGGTGCAAGAGCGGTACTTACAAGTCAGTTAGAGTGGGTGAGTTAATTAGGTAAGATGGGATGGGCCCGTAGAAGGAGTTGCCATCCAGCACTCTGCACGCAGGAACAGCACGGCATGGCACAACATGGCATGACATGGCATGGCATGGCATGGCATGGCATGGCAAGGAGGCGTTTGAGGAGTCAGGAAGGCAAGGAAGCGAGGGAGGACAGCAAAGGGCGAATACGTGAGGAGAAGACTACACAAGCAGTTGGCACAGCAAAGAAGGATGTGTGGCATGTGGCATGGAGAGAATGGAGGGCATGGAGGGCATGGAGGGCATGGAGGGCATGGGGGGCATGGAGGGCAAGGAGGGCATGGAGGGCATGGAGGGCATGGATGGAGGGCATGCAGAGAACGAAACGAGAGGGCGAGAAGGGGTGGACTCACAATTGTTTTAGGTTAGGTAGGCATTTGAGCGGCCTGGCAAAGTCGTCTAGTCTGGTGTTGATGAGCCCCATTATCAGCACTCTGCCCCGCCGCCACGCAGCCCAGCCGGTGAGCGGGAGGGAGGGGGCGGCGGGAGAAAGGGAGAGAGTGAAACGAAGAGGGGGGGGAAAGGGAGGAGCGTTGATGAGCCCCATGATCAGCACTCTGCCCCGCCGCCACGCAGCCCAGCCGGTGAGCGGAACGGAGGGAGCGAGGGGAAGGGAGGGAGGAGGGAAGGAGGGAGAGAATGAGCGGGAGAGGAGGAGGGAAGTGGGCGAAGTGGACGAAAGAGTTGAAAAAACGAGCAGGAGGGGCGGGGAATACAGCACATGTGCGAGAGGGGTCCGTACAAGCACGGCTGACAGGAAAGAGAGGACGCGGTTGACTCGAATTGGCCAAGCTGCTCACAATCTCGTGAGCGTGTTGAGGCGCGCGAAGGCGGTGGGGAGCGATTTGAGGCCCACTAGGGAGTTGCCGAGGGTGGGTATCCTGGGGAGAGGGCGGTGGGACAGGGGGGGCGATGGGACAGGGGGCGCGGGGGAGAAGGGAGGGCGGAGGCATCGGGGGGGATTGAGCGGTGGAGAGACGTGGGTAGACGTAAGATGTGAAAGTTGGTGCATGGGGCGGAGTTTGTAAAGGAAGGAGAGCGGGATGCAAACGGAGAGCGGATGCAGGCACAAGGTAGGGCAGGGGAATGAAGGGGAGGAATGATTCAGAAGAGGGCGAAGGACAGAGGGGGGAGAGAGAGCCGGGAGAAAGAGGGATGGAAGAGGGGTGGAAGGGGGGAGTGAGAAAGGGGATATGGGAAAGTGAGGAGAGTGGAGGGAAAGGGCGGGGGATAGGAGTAAATGGTATTGGCAGGAAGCAAGTGTGACGAGGGAGGGAAGGACGGCAACGAGGGAGGACGGCAATGAGGAAGGGGAAGAGCAGTACTCGATGAATTTGATAGGGATGACTCTGCAGGCGATATTCGCGTGGGCGATATTCGCGTGCGACAACCCACGGCGGAGGACCGGCGGAATCGTGGCGCGCAGGCGGCAGCGACAGAGACACAAGTCATGAGGGATGGCGGGATGTGGGATGGCGGGACAGAAGGCACGGAAGGGGGTGGTAGGGTGTAAGAAATCAAGTCTCTCACCTAAATGATGGCATGGACGTGACCACCAGTTGCGCCTGACGTGGCAAGAAGATGACGGACGTGGCAAGCGGGAAACTGACGTGGCACTCAGGGACATTGACGTGGCGGAAAGGGGCGGCGTTGCTTACATGGCACGAGGGTTGCCGTTAGCGTCGCAGATCACGCCCTTAAAGCCGCTTCCGGTCCCATCGTCAGAGCACGGCGCTCCCACGGCCCAGTTCTGCTCCGCGCCGAGATTAAACGCCGTCATAATCTCGTACATGGGTTGCACTGCACGACGCGGGCATCGCAGGGCCATCGCAGGGCCATCGCAGGGCAATCGCATGGCGACAAAACGGGGAAAGGTGACGTCTGAGCGCTACTGTCTGCATGCGCGCTTGCTCCTGTCTCGTTTCATGCCTCCCATAGTGTTCGCGGTCTGCTAGTTACCCCGGACGACGAAACTAACAGAATCGGGGAAGCGCTGACGCGGGGAAGCGGGGAAGCGGAGAAAAGGGGAAGCAGGGAAGTGGGAAAGCGGGGAAGCGGGGAAGCGGGGAAGCAGAGTAGCGGGGAAGCCGAGTAGCGGGGAAGCAGAGTAGCGGGGAAGCGGGGAAGCGGGGAAGCAGAGTAGCGGGGAAGCAGAGTAGCGGGGAAGCAGAGTAGCGGGGAAGCGGGGAAGCGGGGGAAGTGGGGATGCGGGGAAGCGGGGAAGCGGGGAAGCGGGGAAGCGGGGAAGGCCATGTGCATGTTGGAGCAGCTAAGGTAAGACGGTGAGGGAAGGAGCTGGATGAAATAGGTGAAGGCTCGGGAAAGGGAAGGCTGAGCTAGGGAGCTGGAAAGACATGTAGCACTATGGGTACGATAGGCAGCGATAAAAAATATGGCTGGGACAAAGAGCAACTATGACGACGATGTGACTTTTGAGTCGACTCAAAAGTCACCTTGATGGAAGATATGGGTGGGGCAAAGAGCAAGCTATGAGGACGGAAGCGGGCTTGAGATGGACGGGAGAGTGGCGAGGAAGACCGAGGCTTTAATTGGACCGAGGCTTCAACAGAATGACAGAGAAAAAAAAAGAACATGCGAGACCTAATTAAAGCCTGCTGCTGAGTGCGGAGTAACGACTCGCTAGAGCGATAAGTGCTTACCATACTTGGAGTTAAGCGGCATCTCCGTTGTCGCCAGTGCCAGGCGATGCGTCGTCGATGGGAGGAAGAGCAGCAGCAGCAGCAGGGTAATGAGCATGCTGCGACTATCGACATGGAAAAGCGGTGAACGATCGATCGCCGTCGATGAGGGGGTTTTTCCAACGGACGTCAATGCGGCTAGTTGTTACGTCTCTCTACCTGGTCAGAAAACGCCACCTTTCGGGAAAAAAAACCGCCTTCCCTAAAATACGACTCGCTGTAACGAGTTGAAAGGTCGTCGCTAAAAAACGCCTTTTCCTGAAGTCTTTATTGTTATGATAATCTGTTCGTCCTGCAAAAGACCAATAGCTCGCTAAGCTCCCTAGACATCTTTGATGCTCGACTTAGGGCAGCAAGCAGGCTACAGAGTAAAGCTAAGAAAGCCTTCAAGAAGGACGGTTTACGTTCAAGAAGAACCACAGCAGCAATACGATTGTACGCCTCACTGAATGGAGTGACCTGTTCGGTGCTCAGTAGCCAGCACGGTCCGGCAGCAAAGCAATTTGTGTGCTGGAGGTCTCACAATGGGGAGATGGTCGGTGTGAAGGGGGAGGGAGGGAGGGAGCCATGGCTCATGATGCAATCGCCCGTGGAACAAAAAGCCATTCTTTCCCTGCACTATCAATTCCCCAGGTGCTCCTGCCTGCGGTTGTGGCTTCCCGTTGGCTCGGCTTGGCTGGTCGTGGTCCTCCTGAAATAGTTTTCGTTGGAGGAAAGGATGGAATGGGCGGAATACAGTTCCCCTCCCCACTCGAGGTACTCTCGCTCCTCCCATTTTTTCCCTCTTGTTCGAACCGAAGCAAACCCCGCTGAGTAGGACCACTAACACAATTGCTGCCTCAAGACGGGGGAGTCTGCAGGTGACTTCTACTAAGACTTAGCGGAAACTACTGAAGGCTTTATTCTCTGCCCGGTATTCGACCGTTCAGGATTTGAGGGAAGCAAGCGGCACTGTACCCAGCCCAAGCGCGCTTTCGATTGCCCGACAACAGTTCAGCACGGAAGAAACTGTTGGAACCCACTACCCCACCGACTTCGGTGATCCCTAGGCGTTGGGCGCGAGTTGGTGGGAGCTGGATCACCGTTAACAGCACGCAGCTAATAACAAAATGATCTCGAAGCTGCAATTTAACTTCGGAAGCTGCAACTCCCATAAATGAGGTACATGATGATAATTCGTAAGCAGCAAAAATAGCTCTCACACGACCACCTTTATGAGGTACCTCGGCAGTCATTTCTGCAACCACCCAGCTTCTCTGCTAACCCTGCCGGTAAAAATTAATTGTATTAACAGAAACATGCATACATTTATTTGTATAGATTGTATTAACATAAACATTGATTGCCACAACCCACCACAACCCACCAAAACCCACCGCAAGCCACCACAAGCCACCAGAGCCCACTACAATCCACCAAGACCCACCACAACCCACCACAATCCACCACCGCCCACCACCACCCACCATTATTTACCACAACCCACCACCACCCACCACCACCCATCACAACCCACCACCAAAACCCACCATAACCCACCACAACCCACCACAACTCACCACAACCCGCCACAACCCACAACAACCCACCACACCCCACCATAACCCACAACCCATCACAACCCATCACAACTCACCACAACTCACCAACACTCACCACAATTCACCACAATCCACCACACATCACCACAACTCACCACAACTCACCACAACTCACTATAACCCACCACAACCCACCACAACCCACCATAACCCACCACAAATCACCACAAGTCACCATAACCCACCACCACCCACCATAAGTCACCACAAGTCACCACAACCCACCACAACCCACCACTACCTACCACCATCCACCACTCTTAGAGTTAGAAGTGTTGACTAGAAAGAGAGACTACAAAGGTATAAAGCTATTGGGTTGTACTCTCTATGGCATGACCCTATGTAGTCTACTAAATATACACACATGTTTGACACACCCCCTAGACTAGATAGGGGTAGTGCCTGGTGCGAGACAAGCAGCTCAGGAAGGCACTACTAGTCCAACTTCTGAGGCAGGGGTATGAAGACTAGTCAAAAGAGTACAAACAAGGCAAGAGCAAGACCAGGGCAGCACTACTAGTCCAGTCACTGAGAAGAGGCCACAAGGCCAGTCAGTATAATATATAAAGAGTTGTATACAATCAAGGTCCTAACAAATGAGGTGCTACAGGAGCTAGACCAAGTTGTACGCAGTGCCGCTGATGATCTTTAGGCACAAGCGCCTTCGTAAAGATATCAGTTGAGTTGGCATCGGAGGCTAAGTGTACTACGTGGGCCTGGCGTCGCTGCTGTAGCTCGCGCAGAAGGAAGTACCGCAGCTGGATGTGCTTTGCCCTGCCCTCGAGTCTAGGCTCCTGACACAGGAGGATCATGGCCCTGTTGTCAGCAAACAAGATCGAGGCACAGCTAGGCCACTCACCTAAGTCTGTGAGCAAGAAAGTCAGCCAGCGGAGCTCCTGTGCTGCCATAGCACCGATGTAGATCTCAGCATCGGAGCTAGACGAGGCAACAGACGACGAGCGGGTGGACCTCCACGAGACAGCACCCGCACCAAGGCTAAAGCAGTAGCCCTGGGAGGACATGAGAGTCTCGGCGTCGTCTGCTAAAGAAGCGTATGTGTGTCCGTTAAGGACCACTGGTCTGCGTCCTCCTAGCACTAGCCCCATGCCCGATGTACTTGCAAGATAATGCAGAACCCTCTTAGCTACAGACCAGTGCTGTGGTCTGTGTTTGCCGGTGCCCACAAAGCGGGCCAGGATGCTGAGAGGGTATGCAAGATCTGGACGAGCGCAAGTCATTAGGTACATGAGGCAACCCACCAGCTCTGCGTAAGGACCACTGGGCTTTACAGCCTCCTCCGAGACTCGAGCACAGAGTCTGTGGTCTACTGGCAAAGGGGTGGGCTGTGCGGAAGAGAACTCTCCTCCACGAGCAATGTAGCGCGCCTTGAAGACAGGCGGCTTTCCACGAGGGCGCTTCACCTTGAAGAGCCATCGGCCATTGACTACGTTCACCCTAGGTGGGGGAACTGCGTCGACGAAGGTACCGGTAGATCTCCAAGATGCCATCTCCTGCTCCATGGTAGCTATCCACTGAGAGGCCCAGGGTCCCGAGGTGGCCTCAGCGTAGGTGCGAGGGGTTGGGATGTCAAGGGCGTCTGGGTCACTCGCAGGGACTAGCAGCATGGAACAGAGATGGGGAGTGGCCTCGGACAGGAAAGCAAGCTCGTACTGTCTGTCCTCAAGGACGTCACTGCCAAGGGCAGCCACACCCCCAACGGACGGAGGGCAGGCAGGGTTAGAGACCAGAGCAGTGGCGTAGTCAAGGCGGCAGGTAGCAGCGAAGTCAGTGACACCAGCAACAAGAGCTGACAGACTCGAGACAGGAACAGACACGTCGGTAACCAGAGAGGCAAGGACATGAGGACAAGGGGACGCGCGACACGGAGGAAGTCAGAGAATGGAGGCGGGGCCACGGGAAGCGACGATGAAGGAGGAGACGGAAGGAGCGGAGGGGCACGAGACGCGTGAGAGCGAAGCAACATATGGTGAGAATGCTGAACAGGGGAGGTAGGATGAGCACGAGACGGACGACGAGCCCAGACGTGAGACGGAGGAATCGGGTGAGGAGAGAGGAGAGGAGACACCAGAGGAGAACGAGGAGGGAAACGAGCCGGAGAAGAGTCTAGGGGAGGAAACACAGGGCCGTAGATCGGCAGAGGAGGAGGCGGCGGCGACGGAGGAGACACCGGCGGGCGAGCAGGGGAAGGAAGACCGAGGAGGCGAAGAGCGGACACCAGCGGCGACTACGGCAGTTGCTGCCCGACGCCAACACTAGTACCTCCAGTGGCACAATGGCTCCCTCCAAGAAGCTCCACGCCAACACCCTCGGACCGGGAAACCGCTCCAGCACCTGCGCCGGCATGCTCCCCAGCACCCCCAGAACCCACGAACCCTGGTGGCGGCGACGACGGCGGCTGCGGTTGCGGTTGCGGCGGCGGCGGCAGCTGCAGAGGCGGCTGCGGCTGTGACAGCAACGGCGGCGACAAAGGAGGAGAGACCGAGGCGGGGACCGGCTGGGAAAGGGACTCCGCAGAGTCGCGAGAGTCAGCAGACTCCTCGGCAGGGACAACCGACGTGAGGGGGGTGACGTGAGACAAACCAGACGGGCCAGGGTGGAGAGGGGGGGGAGCAGGGGCGACCTGGGGAGGGGGAACCAAGAACAGGGGGGGGGGTAACCGGGGGACCACGGTGGGGAAAGCGGTGGTAGAAGGAGACAGACTCGTCAAAGGTGACGTCGCGAGAGTGAAAGAAACGGTGAGACAATGGGTGGTAGAATTGCTAGTCAGACGAGTCGAGGGGGAAATCTAGAAAGACACAGAGCACAGTGCGGGCAGTGAGCTTGTCCGTGCCAGAGGCACGAACGTGAGCAAGGCAGCCCCAGATGTGGAACACAGACGCATTACCAGGAGACCCGGTCCAGAGGAGGGTAGGCAAAACCTGCGGCCACTGAGGGTGCAACTAGAGGTTAAGCTGGTGGGCGGCGTAGCGAACGGCGAACGGCCACAGAAAATGAGGTGCACCGGCATGGATCATGGAGGTACGAGCCACCTCCATGACCAAACCGATGTGTTGCTCAGCGACCCCATTCTGCTGCAAGGAGTCCGGCATGGTGTATGTCTGGGTGATGCCCTCCGCACGACAGAAGCGACCAAGGCAGCGAGAGGCGAACTCGCCACCACGGTCGGAGTGAAGACGCAACACAGGGAGACCTCGGTGAACACGCGCAGAGACAAGCCAGAGGATAAGAACGTCAAGCACGTCGGCCTTCTGCTCCACGGGAAGAACCGTAGTGTAGCGAGTGTTATTGTCAAAAAGCACTAGTAAGTAGCGCTCACGACGCGTCCCATGAAAGGGGGCAGGGCCCCGGACCTCCATGTGCAGGGTCTGCCGTGGTGCGGTAGTGGGGGGGAACGAGGAGGAGTGAGGGGCATGGCGGAGCCGGCCCTCGACGCAAGGGATGCATGGCGGCGCTGCCGAGGAGGGGAGCAAAGGGAATGACGCAAGGAGACCTAAGACAAGAGCGTGCTGAGAAATGTGGCGGATACTTGTGAGGACGGGGTGACCTAGTCGGTGGTGCACCAGTGGCAGGTGAGTAAGCGACCGACACGAGCAAGCCGCAGCAACTTGGGTAGACGCTGCCACCTGGGGGGGCGTCCCAACTGGTGGGGACGCGGTGTCCAGCGTGAACAGGCCAGACACCGGGTCCTGGGGGAACGTGGTGAGGGCGGCACCAGTGGCGGCCTCGGTACAGACAGCGTACCTTTTGTGACCAGAAAACGTACTTGGTGACGCCGAGGTCCTGAAGGTAGCCGACACCAAGTAGGTTCCGAGAGAACGAGGGGATGTGTAGGCCTGTAAGAGAGCCCGAGGGAATCGCCGAACAGGGGAGGGTGGTGGAACTACGGGCGAATACAGGACCTGAGGAAGGGTCTGCAAGGGCAACTGCAGTAGGGACGGCAAGCGGCGTAAGCAAAGTGTGGTCCCGAAAGAAACACCGGGACGCGCCAGAGTTGAGAGCGAAGGAGAGCGCGGCAGTGGCGGCTGGGGGCGTAGGAGC